ATAGTTGTGGTCTGTGCAGTTTCTTGGTGCTACTGACACTGTGGCCGAGTCACCCTTTGCCGTGGGGCTGTCCGGTGCACTGGGGGGTGCTCAGCAGCAGCTCCGGCTCTGCCCACCAGAAGCCAATAGCGGGAGGCAGCCGACAGACTCAACATGTCTGAGTCAGTGAAGTTATGGGTGAAAATGAAAAACGAGCCTTTCATTCTGTGGAAAAGGCTCAACAGACTTTTTGGCCAGCCCAACGCCAAAGTGCCCGCACTGCTGCTCAGAAACTGGACTTTGCGCTCTTAGATGTTTTATCGCACTAACTGCAACACTGTAGTTAAAAGCCCACTTCCGCCTATAAGAAAACTGGTAAAACGAACACAATAAAAAGTTAATGATTTTAAACACACGGTTGCTTTAAATGCAGGCATTGCTGTGTAACCGTCACCACCATCTCCTCCAGAGTTTCATCTCCTGAAGCGAAAGTCTGTCCCCATTAAACACTCACTGCCCAGCCCTGCCCCACCTCCGGCCTTCTGTCTGTGTGGACTCGACTGCTGTCGCTGCCTCCGCAGGAGGATCATACAGCGTTTGTCCTTGTGTGTCTGGCTCAGTTCCCTCGGCGCAGTGTCTCCCTGGTTCCCCCTGTGCCCCTCGGGCGGCCGAACCCCCCAGTTCGGGCTCCGTCGTCAGGCACACCCACCACCCCACTTGGTTCCTCTAGTCCCCTGTCGACAGACCCCTGGGCCATTCCACCTTTCAGCCGCTGGGTTCATGGGGGTGCACGTCCTGTCGGGGGGCCCAGAGGCAGACCCGTGGGGCCACGCAGTGACTCCGTCCAGCTCGCGGAACTGCCACACTTCTCTGCAGCAGCTGCACCATTTCACGTCCCGTTCTCTGCTCTCTTCTCAAGTCTCTTACCTGAAATCCAGAACTCTTGCACAGTGTGTGCGTTTTTTGAATGCCTGAGTCACAGTTTCCGCTAAGACCGGTGGTTTTCTGCGTTTCCAGGCTGCCGTGCAGAAAGCCATCCCCATGTACAAAATCGCCACCAAGAAAGATGCTGACGTCCAGATTGACCAGGAGGCCTACCTGCCCGAGGAGACGTAAGGAGCCTTTCTGCTTTACATGCCTGCCTCCTGCTGCAAGCCTGGCCCTCGCCTGGGCCTTTGGGGAGGGCGTGTTGTCCGGGGCGCCCTGGTCTCTGCTGGGCCCCGTGTGCTCGTCCTTCTGAGCCAGGGGACACCCTTTGCAAGTCCAACTTCTGAGGGCCCCTTGGTTCCTTCCGTGGAGAAGCAGCACCACTGGTCTTGACCGGGACACGAAGCTGGGCCCAGACCCCGTTCTGTGCTGAGCAGTGCGGCCTCCCACCGAGGGCCCCCAGAAGCAGGACGCAGTCATGTGTGACTGACGGTGAGGGTCCCAGGACAGGGCCTTGCAGAGCCGCCGTGGTCCCTCTGCCGACTGGGGATGGGAGGGTGCCAGCCGGGCGGGTCCTGGGCAGGGCTGCGCCGAGCCCCGACGACTCACTGTGCCGGCAGACCCAGCTGCCAGCCCGGGACGGAGCCGAGCCCCACCGGACGCGGGTCCGCACTCGTGCTTTCCGTGCCCTGAGGGGGCGGAGGGAGGGACCGGGTGACTGGCGAAGGGCTCCGCCCACCAGGAGGTGCACAGGACGGCCTTGAGCCTTACTGCTGGGTGTGGGTTTGACACTCCGCCACGTGCCGGCGACGTGTCCTTGACCCATCACGTGACCTCACAGAGCCCTGATCTGCTAAGTCCATCCAGGCGCTGACAGCTGCCTCTCGGGACTCTGGGAGCTCAGAAGACTTAGTGTCTGCAGCCCCTCCCACGTGCCTGGCGCCGGCCGGGCCTCACTGCCTGCTTCTGCTCCCGCTCCCGGGGCACCGTCACCGCCGGGGCTGCAGGCAGGAGCACTGAGCGGGGCTGTGGTAGAGAGGGGGTGTCAGTCGAGACCCCGTTCCTGTGCCATAGCACCCCTGGGCAGGGCCTAAGCGTAAGGGGCTCTCCCGCTGTGGAGGGCAGGGAGGCTTCTCTGTCGCACGAGTTCCAGTTTTTTGTTCTCGGAGCTTTCAGAATTCCAGATGAGGGCCCGGGGGCTCCTGCAGTGCAGATTTAAAGTGGAGCTTTAAAGATTTTGCTCACCAGCTTTATCATTTTAACAACTCTCTGTAAACCATCTTATAATGAGGTAGGCACCCCGGAGCCGTGTGCAGGGGTCTCCTCTTCCCTCGCTGCCCACTCTGCTCGGACAGCAGCTCCAGGTCTTCAGCAGGGAGCTGAGTGCCACGCCCCTGGGGACAGCCGAGTCTGTCCACAAAACGACAGAGAGGTGGAGCAAAGGACCAGCAGGGAGGGAGGGGGAGAAAGAAAAAACTGGGGTCACGGCCCATTGAAGTTCCCCAAAGAAAGTCTGCGAGGCCTGCCCCAGCCCTTGCCCCACGGCCTGCTGTCAAGAACGACTTGGTAAAGCGAAACTCTGGTGTAGCGAACGGACTCCATTCCCGCGAGGCTCCCTGTGCGAGGATTTGACCGACCCTTGGCCGAGTGCTGGGAGACGGAGGCAGTGGCGGGAGTGGGCAGTGGCTGAGGCAGGACCTCCCGGGTGTGGACTTGCTGCGACACGGGACTTGGCCCCGTCGGAGCCCCCGGTCATCAGCAGCACTGCGCCCCGAAGCCGCGCTCAGACGGGACTCTGTCTGTGCCTTTGCAAACGGGGACTCAGGTGCCCACCTCCTGACGTTGTGGGCTGTTGGCGGTCCCTTCGGGTGGTCGCAGCGAGCCCCGTCGGCACTCGGCCGTCCCTGGTGAGCGACGGTCACCACCAGCTCCACCCCTTGGGGCCTGAAGAGCCTTTTCTACTCCAAGCTGTTGCCTCTGTCCACGGGCCCCTCGCGGTGCTGAGACACTCCACGCCCCAGCACTCTGCTCCGGGGGGGTCGAGAATGTGCCGTGTGTCCACCTGCCTCGGCCCCGCGGGAACAGTCGTTTCTCTGCTCTCCGCAGCGCTGGTGGCGTTGAGATCTACAACGGGGACCGCAAGATCAAGGTCTCCAACACCCTCGAGAGCCGGCTGGACCTCATTGCTCAGCAGGTGAGTGGGGGCTCGGGAGTGGGCAGCCCCTGCTGCTCGGGGCCTGTCGCTCTCTCCGTCCGCACTCCCTTTTCCTTAAAAGGTAGGGCGGCAGCACTGGGGGGCGGCAGCAGCCCCCGACCTTCCTGGCCCCGAGACCGGGTTTGTGCAAGAGGCGGGGTGGGGGTGGTGCACACAGGAGGTGGCTCTCAGGCCAGCTTTGCTCACAGCCAGGAAGTTGGGGGCCCCGAGTTACAGGAGCAGGGTTTGGGGTCAGAACATGGGTCTTGTTCATCGGGGCTTTAATGCACGCACTCACTGCAAGTGGAGATGCCGACTGGAGCTCTTCGCCCATCCAGAACGACGGGAACTGCAGGCGGCTGTGTGTGGAGAGGTCACTGGGGGGCTGCTGCCCCCCAGGGCTCCGCGTCTGCACGAGGGGACGCTCTGGAGACGGCAGGAAGGTGTCGCCCTGGGGAGGTGGCCTGGCACACCTGGGCGTGGGGCGTCACCTCGTGACCTGCACCCGGCAGCTGTGCCCCAGCAGAGCAGCTGGTCGCTGCAGACGGATTTTTTTTTATTTAAATTAAGCAAACTTAACAGTTCTGTTCCGTGGTCACTGACCATGTTTCAGGGGTGAGACCACATGTGGCTCTGCTTAGAAGTCTGGGGTCAGGTCTAGGGGATTTCCAGTTGCCGCAAGGAGCCCCTTGGCCCAACTCGCACCCCCAGCTTTCTGCGCGTCTGTGGGTGTTGGTGAGCACCTGTGGAGTGGACAGTAGGTGGCCCAGAAGGTGAAGATCGGGAAACACGACTGTGGGGGGACTCTTCTCCCCACATCACCGGAGCCTTAGGAACACCCTCCTCGATTTGTAGTGCGTTTGTCCCGTTTATGCAGTCAGTCTTGGCTCCAGATTTGGGACGGGTCAAGGACAGACCAGCGCCCTTAGCTCGGTGGCCCCTTCCTGGCCGTGGAGGGTCACAACCTGGGGTCTGGGGTGACGCGGTGCAGCTCACCAGTGGAGACAGGAGACGGGACTCCGGGTGCGGCAGCGGGTAACAGAGGACGCGGCCGGAACTGCACCCTGGGGCCTGGCAGGTTCCTCACCAGGGTCACCCCACACACTCGGTCCATTTTTTTTTTGAACGTGCCGTTCTTCCCAGGTCTCCCGGCCGACTGCGCTCATGCACTAACGACGTTACTTCCCCGCAGATGATGCCGGAAGTGCGCGGAGCCTTGTTCGGTGCCAACGCCAACAGGAAGTTCCTGGACTAGGCCGGCCGGGAGGCAGGCGCGTCTGATCGCCGGAGAAACGGCCCCGCATGGCGTCCCCTCCGCTGCTCCGACAGCCCCCCGTGTGTCAGTGGGTGTCCCCTGTCCCGTGCCCTTCGCCAGCTGGTGACAGTGGGGGAGCCTCCCCGTCACTGTGACCAGGAACCTACCTCTCGCTTCTCGGAAGGGATCCCAGCTCCCCGCTGGTCCCGCAGCCCCGCGGTGAAGGCTCGGGTGGTGGGTGCGTGGGCCTCGCCGTCTCCCGCTCTCCTCTGCTTCTAGCGCCCCAGCGCCGCGGCCCTGCACGGCGCCCCCGCCCCCTGCCCGGCGTCCCCGCCCCCTGCCCGGCGCCCCGCCCCCGGGCCTGACCTGCAGACCCACGTCCTTCCCGCTGCCCAGGGGCTCCGTCCGCACACGTGACGTGAAACCCCAGCCCGGAGGCTCTATTTATTAAACAGAAGGTTTATGTGAGCTCTGTGGTAATTTGTTAACACGAGTTGTCCAGCTGCCCAGCCCCTGCCGGCTGACGGCTGTGGGTGCCACACCTGTGGGCTCGTGTCGCTGGCGGTCGCTCCTGCTCGCCCCGCGGCATTGCTTCCCGCGCCCCCCCCAACCCCCCAGCTGCGCGCACCACACACAGACGGACGGTCCGAGACAAGACCTGCCCTCTGCGGGCCGACGTCTTTATTGAGGAGATGGTCCTGCAGGCGCTGGCAGAATCAGGAGAGACGCGAGTCTGCAGGGTTCATGGGGAAGGGGCCCACACACCACTTCCTCTCGCTTCCGGGCCCTTGGGTGTTCAGCTGGACACACCGGTAGGGGACCCCGACTGTCAGCTGCAGACCAGGCTGCTCCCAATGCGCCCCCCGACTCAAGCAGGGCCCCTGGGTCCCCAAGGGGCCGGATGCCAGCCCTGCTGCTCAGCTGCAGCCCCACGAGCGGACGGGCTCGCCTGGTCCCACTCCGGGGGCCGACTCGGGACTAGCACAGGCCCTTGACCTGCTTCTGCTTCCTCCGGGAACGAGGGCCTGGACTCGGCCCTCGCCACTCCATTCAGGCCAGCAAAAGTGTGCACTCCCGCTGACGCAGTCACAGACACGTGGGGCTCGTGTGCAGAACAGGGACGCACGGCGTGGGCAGACCCTGCCTCTACGTCCTGTCTGTGGGGTCCCGTGACCAACACGGCCGAGCAGGTGCAGTTCCTGCGGGAGGGGGTGGCCAGTGCGCCCGTGGCCGAGGGGGCGCCGCAGCACGGACTCGGCGCACAGCCTGCGGAGCCGCCCGCTCCCGGCTGCTCCAACCAGCGCCGGGAGCCGGCCGGACGGGACGGCGCTGCATGCGAGTCTACGCGAAGCACCCGAGGAGCCGCTCGCCGATGCCGACGAAGTAGACGCCCTGGGCGATGCCGAAGAGGGGGGCGATGACCAGCGCCCGGCAGCCCGCGCCCTTCAGGAAGGCGGACGGCCCCTCCTGCGCCCAGAGTTTCCTGCGGGAGGGAGGGCCGGCTGAGGCCTGCCACGGGGTGCGGGGGGGGCACCTCTGCTCCGGCGTCTGTGCGTCTGTCCTCAAGCAAGGGGCGTGGGAGCCGCGCCTGCCGGGATGCGTGTGCCGGGACGCATGTGCGGTTCGTGCAGGAGCGGCTGGGGAGTGCGGGGGACACGGAGGAGGAAAGCCCCCGTGCGTCCCGCTTGGGGTTCGGGGGAGGGAAAGGAACCGCGTCCGACGGTGCGGGCCTGGGCGCGGCGACGCCTCGCGGCCTCGCGGGGGCGGGCTCTCACCTGGCACAGTCTCCGATGCCGCTGTAGCTGTCCTCCCCCAGGCCTTTCTTGAGGGTCTGGATTCGTGTTTTCAAAACTAGAGCGAAAGTTACAGTGAGTGGGGAACATCTCGCTCCGGAGTCCTCCTCCCCACACGGAGTGGCCAGGCCTCCTTTCACGGCCGCGCACGTGGGGCTGACGCCCAAGGCCCACGCTCTGGGGCAGACCTGACTGTGGTCACGGGCTGTGACCCGAGGGTTTTAGGTGGGAGGTGCCCCGGCGCTGCCCTGGGAGTGCAGAACTGCGGTTTATCCTGTGAATGACCGCGCAGGTGCCTGACTGGCGAGGCGCATCGACCCTGCAGCCCTTCTGGCCCCGACGCACTCACCGTCCAGGGGGGTCACAGCGACAGCAGCCACGGAACCGGCCACGCAGCCTGACACGAAGGAGTGGGCAAAGGAGGCCTTCCCCACCGGCTCGCTGACCCCGAGGTTGTTCAGGTTGGCAAACAGAGGGAAGTAGATGACGGAGAACGGGATGTCCCTACAGGGAGGAGGAGGAGGAGGCGGCCTGAGCCACAGGCCACTCGGGGCTGCTCCCTGAGGCCACGGGCGGCCCACGGCCAGGGACGAGCCCATGGTTCTGTGCTCCTACCCTGGCACCCAGGGACGATGTGGGTGATGGCACGAGAGGGCACTCCCAGCCCAGCCCACTCCTCTGCCGTCACAGCACCTGCCGCTTCTGATGAGGACCCTGACGCAGACTCAGAGGCTGGGGACGGGACGGCAGGCAGGTGGTGCTGCCCAGGGAACAGAAGACCCCTGGCCTGGGGTATGTCTGAGCAACTGGGAGGAGGCGGGCTGAGGAGCAAAGTAAAACGAGGGGGAGCAGCCTCTCACTGCCTTGGGGGTGACCCACACAGTCCGTTGTGCACAGGACATGCTAGCTGCCCGCGGGCCCCGATCACCCAGTCGCCCTGTGCGCCTGGTCACTGGACACGGGGCCTAGGAGCCCCCTTCCGGCGGCCCGCTCCGTGCGGCCCTGCCCCAGTCTGGACGGAGTCCGAAGCAGCGAGAGGCTCTGAGGGCTCCAGGAGGAGCGCGGGCGGGCAGGTCGGGGCCGCCGCCGCCACCCCCAGGGCCCTTCCGTGTCCCACGTCTGCACGGGAAGCCTCACCTGAGGAGAGTGGCCCCCAGGCCCTTGTAGAGCCCAGCCAGGCCTTGGGTGCGAAGCAGCTCCCGGGCAATGAGGGTGGCGGACGGGCGCTTCTGAGCGGACGGCGGGGAGGAAGGCGCCGAGTCTGGGCCCTGAGGGCCGGAGGCTGGAAGGGAGAAGGGACAGGCCTCCCGTCACCACCCAGGCCCCACACGCACAGGAGGGGCTCCTGCTGCCTGCGTCTGGGACGACTCGGACAGACAGGGTGGCCGCCCTGCCTGGAGTCTGGGGACGGTCCTGCTCCCCGATGACACCGGGCCGGCTCCAAGGACACCTCTGTGGCCCTGCAGTATCCACACGAGGCCTGCCCAGCTCCCCCCGTGGGCGGCTCTGGCCGGCAGCACGCTCACCCTGACGCCGCTGCCTCCCACTCCTCACAGGCTCTGAACCTGTCGGCACTGTGTCTTCCCGTTGGCTCTTTGGGGCGGGAGAACCCCATGTGTCTGCTGCCTCGGGTGTGAAGCAGCCAATTCCTTGTTTAAAAACCAGCTCTTGCCCTGACTGGCGTAGCTCAGTGGATTGAGCGCAGGCTGCGAACCAAAGTGTCGCAGGTTCGATTCCCAGCCAGGGCACATGCCTGGGTTGCAGGCCATGACCCCCAGCAACTGCACATTGATGTCTGTCTGTCTGTCTGTCTGTCTCCCTCCCTCCCCTCTCTAAAAATAAATAAATAAAATCTTTAAAAAAAAACCCCCAGCTCTTCAAACTGCAGCAACACCTCCTCCGGGTAGCACACTGAGGCTAGGGGAGCGTGTCCTCTAGTCCCTGTGCCCCTTTGTAAGAGTTTGACTCTTGAGAGGTCAACCCCTTTCAGCAGAGTAATTCAGAGTTCACACTACGGTAAGTCAGCCCTGGCTGCTGTGGCTGAGTGCGCTGAGTGCCGGGCTGGGAACCAAAGGGTCACCAGTTTGATTCCCAGTCAGGACACAGGCCTGGGCTGCGGGCCAGGTTGCCAGTAGGGGGCGCTCGAGAGGCAATCACACAGTGATGTTCCTCTCCCTCTCTTCCTCCCTTCCCCCTCTCTAAAAGTAAATAAAATCTAAAAGAAATTATTAAAAAAATAGTAAGATGAGCTAAACATCGAATGCAGGGTGGAATTATTTTCTTTCCTGAGCCCACGGGTCCAGTGCCAGCATTTCAGGGGCCGCGAGTCCCAGTCACAAGCACAGGGCTCACCGCCCGGAAACCGGGCGTGGAGACCCTCCGGATCCTCAGTGTGGGAGCAGCTCTCTCGCGCCCCCACGCGGCACCCCTCAGCCACAGCCTGTCTCTCTCTCCTTTTAAAGTGTTTTAGGGACACGACGACTCCCCACCCCAGCTAAGAAGTGCAGGGCTCCCCCCTCAGCTGAGCAAATCAGGTGACGGCGTGCCAGCGCCAGACCAGAGTCCCTCCGGCAGTTCTACCCGCTCCGCCCGGGGCACACGCCGCACACGCACGGGACCGTGGGGGGTGGGGAGGGCCCCCCCAGCTGTGCGGGTCCTCACCGGGCGCTCTGCTTGGCATGGGGCACGCTGGCTCATTGAACTCTGACCCTGGCTTAGCCCGGAGCAGCCCTCAGCCTGCACCCACCCGCCCCGACGGTCAGCCTTTGCTCTCAGCAGACGCCGTGGTGCCACGCCACTTTACCCTCTCCTTTTCAGAGGGACGGGATTCGGCAAAGGGCCAACCTCTCTTTCAGAGGAAACCAGAAGAACAGCAGTGGTCCTCCTCTCCCCTCCTGTGCTGCCCCACTCCAGCCCGGCTGCTGCTACGGCGTGACGTAATACATCGTCACGAGGCCTCCATGGGCTGCGTGCGGAGAGCGAGCCCCATCGGTCCTGCAGGGCCTCAGGAGACCGAGGCTCACGTTCGAGGCCGTGGGTAGGGTCTGGAGTCAGGGGGTGGGGCCTCTGCCCCTCCCGCACCGGGACTCTCGCTCCTGCTCTGGGTTTTGGAGCTGGACTGGGTGGAACCCGGACCAGGAGCCCTGACGTGCAGGTGCCTGCTGACCGAGAGCGTGAGCTGGGTCGCGCAGACAGGCCACGAGCGCGGCCGTGGGGAGCGGGCAGCGGCCTCACCCAGGCGCCCGGCGTCCTGCAGCTGGATCTTCAGCATTTCCATGGGGCAGGTGACCACCACCTGGCACATGCCCGCGCCGCAGCCCGCCAGCATCTCCATCCTCAGGTTCCGCTGCGTCCTGTGGGCCGGGGGTCAGTGCCCGTCAGTCCCAGGCAGCCCCCCGCCCCGTCCAGCCGCAGGGTCCTCGTCCTGTCCCCGGCAGCCGCCACCCACCCACCCTGCTCAGCCCCGGGCTCCCCGAAGACAGGAGGCCGAGTCTGGAGCAGGCTGCAGAAGGCAGCGCCCCCGCGGGAGCTGAATCCAGTCTGCACGGTGGAACTCCCCACCGCAGGGATGCCCCCAACCCCTTGAGTGGTCGTCACCAAGGCAACAGGAGGCACCACAAGAAGAGAAAAGGACTGGGGGCTACTTTTAAAAACATCAGCATAAAGACAGACCCGTGATCCATGCAGCGGAATCAAGAGCCCAGAAACAGACCCCAGCGCGCACGCCCAACCGGCCCCGGCGGGGGCAGGGCCCCCTCGGTGGCTGGTGCGGAGGAGGCTGGACTGCACACGGGAGAGGGAACGCGAGACCCGCCTTAGAAAATGCTCAGGAACCGGTTCCAACGGACGCAGACTTGGATGTAAGACCCGGAACCACAAGAGGAGGGGGAGACGGGGACAGAGCTCCCGGCGTCGGCCGCCTGCAGCAAGAGCGACAGAAGCAAAGACGGACCCACAGGACCTCGGACGGCGGAGCTGCACGGCCAAGGGAGTGCCCGCAGAGCCGGCAGCCGGCCCCTGGGGGGCGGGAAAGGTCGGCTGACCCAGCACATTGTAAGGGGTCAAGGACCTGAATAGACCTTTCTCCAAAGAAGACATTCAAGTGTCCGGCAGGCGCGTGAAAAGAAGCTCACCGTCACCCACTGGTCAGCAGGGAAACGAAAACTGAAACCACACGGAGACACCAGTGCACTCCCGGCCGCACGGCCGTCCGCAAGGAACCCCCACACAGCCAGGGCCGGCAAGGACGCGGACCCTCGCGCACTGCCGGTGGGAACGCGGCCGGGGCAGCCGCTGTGGGGAGCGGTGTGGGGTTGCCTCGAAAAATTAAAAAATATCTACCATGTGATCCAGCAGTTCCACTTCTGGGTGTGAACCCAAAGGAAGCGAGGTCACTGCGTTCGCAGCAGCCGAGACGTGGGAGCAAACCCACAGAAAAGAGGTCAGACGTGTGGTTGTGGGGCGGGGGGGCCAGGGGCAGGGGGTCCGAAGGGCCAGGCGTCCAGTTCCGGGCGACGCCAGCCAAGGACCTGACGTGCAGCCCAGGACTCGAGCTGACACTGTGGGGCGCTGGCGGCTCTGAGCGCGGCGAAGGCTGGACCCTCAGCGTTCCGGCCAGGGCCTCCTAACACGTGTGTCTAGGCATGACGCTGTGTGTCGTCAGTGTGCACAGTGCCGTGTCCCGGCGAGACCTGAACGCTGGCCGGAGAAGGCGGCCCTGGCCAGGGGGCTCGGCTGCCAGGGGCGCCGTCCCGCACACCCAAGGGCCGGGGGTTCAGCCCCCCGGGGTCAGGGGGCCTGCACGCAGCAACCCATCGATGCGCCTCCGTCTCTGTCTCAAACCAACGATGACACATCCTCCGGTGAGGATTGAAAGTGAGAAGAAACCGGAAGAACGTTCATCAGCTACTGGACGGGCACGTGTCCTGCGCAGCCCCGCCCACCCACCTACCCCCCCACCCACCCACCTGCACCTCCGTCCGCCGCCCGTCGGTGCAGAACTCCCAGAGCCCAGCAGCCCCTCGCCCTCCCACCCTGTCTGCCCCCCACCCCACCCCGAGGGGCCCCGCGCGAGCCGCCTCCGCCCACACACAGATGGGGGGGGGGGGCCGCGGCCCGGCCGTACCCGTCTCCCAGGAGCAGCTGCCGCAGGAAGTCGTTGGCCGCCAGCTTGATGGCCTTCTCCGGGGTGACCAGCGCGAGATTCACGGCGGCACCTGGACAGGGCGGGCCGAGGAGGCTCGTCCCTCGTTTCACTGGGATGAACAGTGTTCCGGCCGCGCCGCCCCCTCCTCCCGCCTGGCTCTGCGCCCCGGCCTTGCGCCCGCTCCCCGCAGGAACGCCCGGCCTGTCGGTTCTGCCTCAGCAGCAGCGAGGGGAGCTGGGGGCGCTGCGACGCAGGGTCGTGCTGGGATGGGGCCCAGGGCGCCCCCAACCTCCCCACGGCTGCCCGTGTCACCGGAGGACCAGAGCGACCAGTCTGGAGTCACTGGGCAGCCAGGCTGTCCCAGGAGTTCCCCGGGCAGAGATACCACCCCCCCCCCCGTCTGTGACCCCGCCATGAGGGGGGACCCCCGGCTGTGCCACCCCCTCCAGCCACGCCCAGGGCCCGGGAGCCCACCTCGGTACATGCCCAGGAAGCCCTCGGCCCTCGCTGTCTTCACCAGGCAGTCCGTCCTGGAGGCCGGGCCGAGAGGACGTCAGCGCACGTGGGGGGCCGCCCCCGCCCCCGCCCCCGCTCGGAGCCCCGTCCTGCTGGACTCCCCCGCACAACCCCCCTCCCCCCTCCCCCGGGGTGCTCACCCCCCGCAGAGACGGCCCGGGGCCCCTCTCCTCGCCCCCCGGCCCCGGCACCTACATCCCTCTGTACGTGTCCGTCCCGTGCTGGTTCTGAAGCCGCGTCTTGGCCAAGTCGATGGGGAACACACAGGTCACCCCCACGAGCCCCGCCACGCCTCCGTTGATGAGTTTTGCTGTGACGCTGGGTCGTGGGAGGAGGGGCGCAGGGTGAGAGAGGGAGGGGTTCGGGGTGAGAGGGCGGGGGCGCATGCAGCTGAGACGCCGCAAGGGCTTCTGGGAAGGACGCCCCAGGGGTCGCTGGGCGGCAGAGCACCCCTTCCGAGCCGTCCCCGTCCAGGGCCACGGGAGGACACGGCTTCCAGCACGCGGGGTTCCGTCTAGAGCCAAGGTCAGCGGAAGTGACCCCGGTCCCGGCGGCACCGAGGAGAGCAGGCCGGCCGTCTCCTCTCTGACCCGGGCTCCCCGCCGCGAGCCGCCCAGTGCGTCTGAGAGACGCAGCCCAGACACGTACAAATTATACTTAATCACATGTGTGAACGTGTGATTATTTTTACAAACCCTCACCTGAGGCCATTTTTTGCATTGTCTTTAAAAAAAAAAAAAAAGTTACTCACTTTCAGAGAGCGGAAGGGAGGGGGAGAGGGAGAGAAACACGGTCTGGCTGCCTCCTGAACACCCTCGACCTGGGGGGACCTGGCCCCAAACCCGGGCCTGGGCCCTGACTGGGAACTGAACCGCCGGCCCGTCGGTGCACAGGCCAGTGCGCAATCCACTGAGCCTCGCCAGCCAGGACTTGCCTTTTTTCCCTCCTTTTGCGAAGTGAGATAGGACGACAGAAATACCGATTGGTTGCCTCCCACACAGGCCCTCTGGTCCTGGGATGCCGCTGCCACCAGCGGGGCCACGCCGGTCGGACACCTTCCCGCCCACAGGAAAGGGGTCTCTCTCGCCGCTCCCGGGCCCCCAGTTCGCACTTCAGGGACTGGAGGGCAGCTGAGTGATGTCGCTACCACAGCAGCTCCGCCCCAAACCCCGCCCGGGGACGGGGCTGTCTCGGCCCCAGCTTACCTCAAATCCTGCTTGGACATCCTGTGGGTTGGGGGCAGAGGACTCGGGGGCTCCCGGGGTGCGAGGCTGTTGTGCCGCTCCTCAGGGCAGACGTCAGCCGAGGCGGAGCGGCGGAGTCCGCGCCCTCGACTCCGGCCCACCAAGGCAGGGTGCGGAGAGCGGGCGTCGGCGGCCAGAGGCTGGGGCCACCTCCCAACAGGTCGCAACCCCTGGGGCTGCAGCCGGCGCCTCCTCTGGGAAGCGACCAGACCAGCACCGACCTCCTGCCGTGGGACCCACACCTGCGATGGGACGGAGCGTCACGAGCCCACTCACGCTGCCCACATCTTCTGTGCCCTCCCCCCACTACCTGGGGGACTCTGGGGGCGGGACCAGGACAGAGAGGGAGGGAAGCACGGGCCCCGGCCGGCTCAGGAGAGGGATCCTGGGCTTTAGGGAGAGCAGCCCGGGCCACGGGGGGCGCTGGCGGGTCTGGAGGAGGGGCTCCCAGGGCAGCTTGGAAGCCCCCCTAGTGTCCAGGAGCGACAACGAAACGCCCGAGTCCTGAGGTTGCGCTCTGGGTCTGCAGGCGTCCCCCAAGCTCCTGGCAGCCCTGCGGGAAGGCTGGGCTGCGGAGGCCAGCGGGCAGGCGGGCGGGCCTCGATGCGTCTGGGGAGCAGGGAGCCGCGCACGGACGGCCGAGCCACCACAGCAGCAGCCGGTTCACGAGAGCACGGCCCAGAGCCGGCTGGGAGAAAGTCGCCGTCCGGGGTCTCCCAGCCACTGGCCTCAGTGGGGCCACGGGGTGCCCCCACTGCCCCCAGCTTCCTCAGCTCTGCTGTCAGCAAGGCCAAGGGCACTGAAGCGCTCGCGTGGGCCCCGGACCAGCCCCCCCAACACTGGACCGCCTCCCCACTGTGCATGCAGGCCCGGCCCCTCACCCCCACGGGCAGCACCTCCGGGCCACGGGGTCTCTGGCCCCGGAGCCTCGCCCACACTCCCCATCTCCCCGGCGACTCATCAGCGGCTCCACCTCCCTCCCACGAGTCCCCCCACGCTCCCCGGAGTTGCCCAGGAGCCCTCCTGGGACCAGCTAACACCCAGTCCCCGAAACTACCGAGTTGCGCCACGACCGTTTGTGCGCGGTCTGAGCGCCAGTCGAAGGGGTTGGGCACCTGAGCGGGGCCTCGGCGCTGCCTCCCGGGGCCCCACGCGGGGCCCTCCGGCGCACACCTGTGCCTCGGGGCCCAGGAGGGCGGCTCCTTGCGGCCCGGCCCGTCCGGGGTCGCCCTGTGACCGTCCGTGCTCCTTGGTGCAGGGGCTGCGCCACAGCCAGGCCCCCTGCTGTCCCCTCCTCTGACCAGCTGCCTCCTGACCCGACGGGGCCCGAGGCGCCCAGGTAGGAAGCTGCCCCCTCCGCCTTCTTTGCTAGAAGGGGGTCTTTTCCTCTCACTCTGAGCTTATGGTCCAGACAACACTCACCTGCTCTCAGGAAAACCTTCGACTCCTCTGGGTGCCGAGGCAGAGGGCAGGTCGCTGCTGAGCTGCGCTGGGGGCTGGCTGCAATCCTCCTGTCGTCTGCAGTCCCCCCTTCAAGCCCCCGGAAACCCCCAAGAGGTTCAGCCCAGCCCTCTGGCCCCAGGTGGCTGTGACTCGTGGCTGGTGTGATGGGGACAAAAACCGAGGCTGGGGTTTGCTGAAAACCCTGGGGGGGGGGTCATGGGACACAGATCTGGAGGTCAGGGAGAACAAACAACAAGAAATCGATGGAGCACACACACTCAGCCAGACGTCTGGTGCCAGGAGCTGCCCTCTGCTCCTCAGATGCGGGCACCTTTCCAGCTGCAGGCGGCCGGCTCTGCGTCTCCTGTGGTGTCCAGGCGTCCCCTCTTTGGGGATGCGTGCACCTGCGGAGGGCTGCCCACAGGGCGTCCCGTCTGAGCTGTGATCCAGCCGCTTCTTAGGGGCAAACTGTCTAATTTGGGGCAAGCACTAAGTCCGTGCGGGGGAGATGAGAAGACCGGCGAGCCGCATGGGGTCTGCGGAGAACAGGAACCTGTCGCCTGGCCAAGGGTTTGGGAGAGAGACCTTGGTCTCAGGAGCCCCAGGTTCAAACCCCAGCTCCCAAGTTAACAGCGACCTCACTTGAGGCAAGCTGCTTGACTAGCACCTGTCTGCACCCACAGGGGACCAAGGGGCCCACATGGGACAGAGGGACACGCTTCGGGTCTGCTGGGAGGGGGGCAGGAGAGCTGGGCAGCCATCGCGCTCTGGGACAAGGCTGCTCGTGACCTTGAGGCTAGGGCCATGCGAAGGCCACCGTCGGCTCAAAGCCTGTCCCATCCGGGAGAGCAGTGGCTGCAGGCGGCCTTTCCCAGGGCGCACACCTCTAGGGGGCGCTGGCTCATCTCTGTACAACGTGGGTGCTGGAAGGTGGTGGAGGCTGGGGGCCTTCGGTACAAGAGCCAGAGCTGGGGGTTTCCAGCCACTTTCCTGGCTTGTATTTCAGCCCATTTTGCAGTTTAAGTTTTTGCTACAAGTGGACTGATCCTTAGTTGGACAGGGGACAAGATACGCACAGGAGTCCTTAAAAAAAAAAAAAAGAAAAGAAAAAGCCGATGCCGCCGGAGAACGGGTCTGCCCACCACGTGCACAGACCCGGCCGGGGAGCAACTGCGGGGCTGGACTCCGGGCCGAAAGGCCAAAGTGCCTCTTGCCCAACAGCGCGAGGACAGGCCAGCCGCCTCCGCAGCAGGGCTGCAGGGCGAAGGTCGGCTTCCCGGCGGCCCGGCACCGAGCTGTGAGACGGTGCTGACCCTCGGGAGGCGCTCTGTTCTGGTCCCGGGCGGGCAGACAGACACCCCCCTCGAGGCCTGCAGGCGCCCGGCTCAGGGCTGAGTCCCAGGAAACACAGTCAGACCTGACCGACCGTTAGCTGGACGGGCAGAGTCTGGCTCTAGTAAGGAATTCATGTCACAGGAGGGGTTTCCGCAGGGAACCTCGAGGTCAGCAATGTCACGTGTGTTCACAGCTGGGACGCGCTTTGGACAGCGAAGGCTGCATGTGCCCCTGCCCCGGCTGTCAGCAGCTGTGTGGTTCCCCTACCAGGCCCACCACCCTAGGGTTTGGAAAGTCACAGTTGGAGTATCACGGGGGCACCCCAGACGGCACCCAAGGGCTGGGCGCGCGTGGGCACGGAGGGAGAGCACTCCACTCCGGACGCCGCGCAGACTGCCCGGTCAGTTTTATTTCTGCTGTCACGTTCTCTGGGGCCTGGGCACCCTGCGCAGGCCCCTGCCCCCACCGCCCAGGACACCGGGCCCGGACTGAGTGGTGCTGGGACCAGGCGCACTTTCCGGGTGACAGCACTGGGGACTGGTGTCAGTGGGAGTTCATCCCGATGAGAAAAATGACACAGACACACAACTCACACACATCTGAGACGTGCTATTTTAAGAATGTAATTTATACAAAATAACCAGTTCATATGGAAATAAATCTACAGACCTCCAAGGATCAAAAAGCTTTTTAAAAAGTTCTTCCAGAAAGTCATCCAGCACACGACACTGAGCTAGCCGTTGAGGTAAGTCGCTCCCGGTGAGGCAGGGCGTCAGTCAGCAGACCACGACAACACACACACAACACGGAAATAAATAGCGCCCCCTGCCCAGGGCCGGCCGGGGCGGCGCCCGCAGCCTCCGCGGCAGGCGTGGGGGTGTCCCTGAGCCCGTGTGCAAGGCGGGTGGGCGAGGGCTGAGCCAGGCTGGGGAGAGAGGGGTCCCACAGACTGACTGATGGGGGCTCAGCCTCTCAGTGGCTCAACATCTACACCCCCGGTCCGGACCCCACCCCACAGGACAGCCAGCTGCACCAGGCATTTCCACAGGAAGGTCGCGGGGTCCCCTGGGGTGGGTGGGGGAGACTGGCCAGGAGGCAGCTTCCCCGAAGGTCTGTCCAGCGAAGGCCACGAGAGGCCAAGGCCTGACACCCGCCTGGAGACCACGCTCACACCAGCCCCCTCGGGCAGCCGGGGGCAGGGGTGGCCGCCCAGGTCCTGCCCCACCGCAAGGGCAGCAGGACGGGGCTGCACGTCCTAGGGCTGCACGGCGAGTCCAGCCCCAGGAAGAAGAGGGCCTGGGCCCCTGGCCCCTGCACAGTGCGGAGCCCTGGAGGGCGACCCTGCGTCCCCAGGTCCTTCCCCCACCCCACACGGCACCCACGCGGGGCCCGGTGGGCGGGCGGACGGACGGATGGAGACGAGGGGGCGGGGCGACTGTGCTGGGAACCCGGAGCCGCCCCCCCACCAGGGTCCCTCCGAGCACGGGGCAGGCCTCCGCGCCGAGTGGCTGGCCCGCCCTGGGGCTGCGGAGAGGACTTGCTGGGGACGTCCAGGCCAGACCTCAGGAGCAGAACCGTATTTGTAGACCTGAACGCCCATGAAGGACAGAGCAGGAAAACAGTTCACCCGGGCGGTGTGGACGGAACGCCGGCCTCAGCCCCCGGGCCTCCCGCGCACGGCACGGCAGGCTGGCCGCACACCCCACGCGGTCAGCCGGTCGGTGGGTCGGGGCCGCAGCCCCCGCAGCCCGAGGCGGTCGGAGTGGGGCTCAGCCACCCGCTCACGCGCACCGTCCGACCAGCCCGCCCGGACCGGGGAGGGGGAGGGGCTCCCCGCTCTGTCTCCCGGAAGCGGGACGGGCGAGCCGCACGACCGAGATCCTGCACGTTCCGCCCGTCCTCACGCCCCGGGGCGCCGACCACGGTGAACTACCTTCAGGCAGCAGCTCCCTTTTCCCACGGGCAGACTCCGGGGGACAAAGAGGGATCCAGCAAGCCTTACACAAGGTCCTCCTTTTATCAGAGCCCCTCGGTCCCTCTAGGGGCCACAGGGGCCTGGGTCCGTCCTCCCGGCCCGAGCACAGCCCTTCCGGGGTGTCCTCCCACCCAGCGACGCCCGTCGCGCAGCCACCCCAGAGGAGAAGAGACCCACGGCCTGCTGAAGAGCCCTGCTCAGGGCGAGGGCCCGAGGACGGTCAGCCAGGAGCGCCTGCCGCCCTGCGGCCCCCGTGGCGTCTGGCGGGCCTGCCGACCCAGGTGGCGAGAGGCCTGGATGCGCCCGGCGGAGACGGAGCCCTGTGCCCGTAACACAGGACCGGGCGCCCCCACAGGTGCAGCGGGGCTGACGGCGTGCCTGCGGGACCCGCCCCCCCGCCCGTTCACAGTGTGAGAGTATAATACAGTAGTTCAGTCTCCTGGTTCCCTCCTCGGCTGCGCCCCACCTCTCCGCCCACCGGGGAGGGAGATTAGGACTAAAGAAATCACTGGTTTTTCCCGTATAGTTCACAGCTTCTAACAGGGGACAGGGTCAGGGGCTGGGGGAGCGGGGACAAACGTCGCCCCCAGTAGTGTGTGTGTCCGCAGCTGCCCCACCCCAGGGTCCACCCCAGGGGACCCAGTGCGTCCACCCAGGGGAAGAGGTCCTGCTCCGGTCAGGGTGCTGCTGGTTTGGGGGAGCAGGAGCCTCCGTCACACCAGCTCCGACGCGAGAAAGCACAGGCTGTCCCCAGCCCGGCTGGGGCGGAGCGCGCTACAGCGACCGGCTGGTCTCCACTGCCCACGGTCTCTGTGCACACAGCAGCAGCAGCAGCAGCAGCAGCAGCAGGGGGCCACCCTGGCCACAGCACCCAGCCTGAGGGCTGGCCAGACGCCCGCCCACCGCCCCCTCCCCACACTGAGAACGCTGACCCCTCCCTCCCTACGGCCAGGCTGGGCGGACGGGGCCCTGCCCCTGCGCGCCTGCTCCCATCCCAGCAGCCGGGGCCACAACCACCTGCAGGCCGACAGCAGGACCCCCACGCACGCACGCACGTCCCTGATGCCGCGGCGGGGTCTCTGGGCCACCTGTGTACCCTGAACGTTGGCCGCTGGTCTCCTTCCCGAGGGACAGTGAGCGTATGTTCAGCAAGCGTGTCCCCACCTGGCCGCGGATGAAAGGTCCCCGCCCCAACACAGAGGAGCTCGGAGGGGACCGGGCCCCTGGACCGCCTTCCCAGAGGCGGCTTAGCCACGCGCCCGCTCTTCCCCCCTGGACACCTGCCTTCGGGGCACTCCCCTTCCTCCGTGGGACAGTCGCCGCAGCCCCAGCGCTGGTGGCACCTCAGCTGGAACCAGACCCAGGAGCTAAACGGGCAGCGCGCGGGGTGACCTGCCTCTGAAACTGGGATGCAGTGACGTAATACTGTTGAGGTGTCAGCTGCCACGCACACCCACGGGCTCCCGGGGCTGTGCTCCGGCAGCGACTTCAACCGCCGCGACTGGTTCCACGACGACTCACTCAAAATGAATAAAGGCTAAATACAACGAAATACTCCTAAACTCAAATTGTAAACCTACAGACCACACTTTTCCTAGTCAGAACTGTGCAATTTCCTCACGGATTCTAACATGTACAGACCTGAGTAGTCGCCCCACAGACGTGATTCGTGCTGGAAGCCCCGTGCCGCCCCCGACCAGCCCCTCGGGGCTGGGTCTGCGGGGAGACTGCTCCCCTGGCGAGGAAACGCCCCCACCCGCGTCCAGACCCGGCGCCCGGCTCCCCGCACGGCGGCGGGCACTGCCTGTCTCCCGGGCGCACACCTCCACCCAGGGGCCGTGAGGGCGCACTGCCTCTCAGCCGAGACGGGGCGGCCGGGAGTGTGGGACCCCCGTCCTGGGCGGGTCGGAGAGAAGGCCCCCACCTGCCCACGGCGGCTGGCCGCCGGGGAAAACAGCGACACGGCCAAGGAGCCCTCTGCCCACTTGTCCAGCTCCCCGGCTTCCGTGTGACGTGATTGTAAACAGGTAAGACCCTCCAGGACTGGTGCCCCGAGTCAGGATGCCCACTGCTTCAGATCCCACCCCCCACTATGTACAATACATTCACCACCAACAACAAAAATTAGTTTAAAAGGCAACATGAAAACTCTGTAAACTGGACCCAGCTCCAAACCTCAACACTACGAGGAGTTCCTCTCCCAACGTGTACCTGAGTTCAGCTGCTCTCGAGTGCCCACAAGCACCTCCGACCCCGCGGGGACCCCCAGTTTGGAGGGCTTGCCCTGAGACAGTCCCAGGGCCTGGGAAAGCCCCCGCCAGCTCCAGTTCCAGTTCCCGCGATCCCGACCGACCGTCAGCCACACAGGAGACCCCCGCAGACACTGGTCCCCGGTCGTCCACGGCGCCCGCTGGCTGCGAGGGCTGAGGCTGACACCGGGGCGGCGCTGGGGGGGCGCGGCAGGGCGGGGAGCAGAGGAGGGCGCGGCTCCCCCGGCCCGACCCCCCGCGGTCCGTCGTCCTGCGCAGCCTTCTGTCTCCTGGGGCTGTTTCCTCCCCGGACTAGCTCTGGGGAAAGCAAAACGGACGACATAAACAAAATTCACATCTGAGTTCAGTGCTGAAAAAACTATGCCAGAGAGCAGCTCCTCCGACCCGGGAAGCGGCTGGACTTTGTCCCGCAGGACCCCCAGCACACAGGGCAGGACGCTGTGACGGCCGCTGACCTTGACTGCGGGGGGACCGGGGCGTGGCGGGGGGCCACGAGCCACACGCAGAGGCCCACGGCACAGCGCCAGACAGAGCAGCACCCAAAGGCAGCGCCTGTGGCTTGCAAACCCCACAGCCTAGTCCCTCAAGAACCCAGCACGCGGGAAGGTGGAACAGGCAGCAGACCGCATCAGAACAGACGCCGGGAGCCAGTCTGGGACAACGAGCTTCAAACACCCCCCCAATGGCTGGTCCCGGGAGAGCCAGCGGAGGCGCACAGGTGCAGCTGGCCCCGGGCGGCTGCTGCCTGGGGGCCTGCCGGACAGGACACCCGTCTCGGAAAGTGCCGTCCCCGCAGGACGCCGACTGCACGTGAGGAGCGTGGGGCTGCGGGCACCAGCCCACGGCGCAGCTGGAAACCCACAGAGCAGCGGGCTCCCAGGGCAGCCGCACGGGGCCGACGCGCCCCCCTCCCACCCCGCGGAGCGGCACGGGGCGGGCTCCAGGTGTCCTACCTGATCGAGGGGGAGCGTCGGGGCCTTGTGGGGCGGCAGCTCTTCCTGCAGCGCTCCTGGGCCGGGGGTCTTTGGGAAGGAGGGTGGCGGCTGGATGGGGTGCACCTGCACGCTACGGCCGCGAGAAAGGCACAGGTGAGAGCTGAAGGGAGAAGTCGCGCGAACCACCAGATCCCAGGCAGACCCTGCCTCCGTCACCCCGGTGATCAGCCTGGGAACCACCGATCCCGGGACGCCACACGCCACAGGCATCGTGAGTCTCGAGGCGCGCGCCGGGAGCACGCGGTCCCCGTTCCGTGGTTACCGGGACCCCGAACACAGGGACACGGCAAGCACCCAGCGTTTGGAACACCGCATGAGGGAACCAACGCGACGGGGCGAGTGTTCTGCGTCACGGGAGTCAACAGACTCAATGAAACGTGAACGCACAAACCCCGACGGGCTCCTGAGTGAAAAGTAAATCAGGACAGCCCTGCAGCTGCGAGGGCGGCGCTTCAGGAACAGCGGGAGCGCCCCGGCTCTGCGCCCAACCGACCCCTTTCCTCGGGCGAGACGTGAGCTCCAGTGCTCAGGGGCAAAGCGTCGCTAGGTCTGCAGCTCACCTCCCAGCGGTTTAGGGGGAAGGGACCAAAGAAAATGGAACGGGGGCGTTCAGAGGCGGCAGAGACCCACGGGACAAAGTGCGGCTGGGGGAAGGGTGCGGGGCTGGACGGGTTGCAAGGGGGCAGACCTGGCTTCCTGACCAGGCGCCCCGACCTTCAAGGGCACAGGACTGGAGCCTGAAGAGGATGCCCCGGGAGTGGCCCGAGTCTCCGCGGTCAGAACGCTCCCGCCCACGAGGGGAACGTGCCGGAGACACAACCGGGCTCCTGGGCTGACGCCCCAACGAAGCCCCCACCCACGTGCGCGGAGCCCAGAAGCCCACCCCAGTCCCCTTCCTCCCCGAAGCCGTTCTCCTCCCGACACTAACGCCTGCTCTCGTGCGTGGGAGAAGAAAACAAGTCGAGTGCGCTTACCCCGGGGGCCTGTACGCGTCCTGGAAGGGCCCCCTCGCTGCGCCCGCAGGCCCCGCCTGCTCCATCATCACAGCCTGGAAGTGGCCCAGGCCGTCCTCCGGGCAGCGGTAGACGGGGCCCTCCGGCGGGAGGCCGTTGGGCTGGGAGGCCGCGGCGGAGGCGTAGGCCCGGGGCTGGAAGTGGCCAGCCGGCCGCGGGGCGTAGGGAGGCCTGGCCTGCAGCATGCCCCCGTGCGGTGGGAACGCGGGGGGCGCGAACCCCATCCCGGCGCCCAGGGCCGGAGGCGGGGCCCCGTAGAGGTACTCGCTGGCCGGCAGGGTGCCCTGCTGCTTGGCGGCGGCGTTGTGGTTGTCCAGGTCCAGAAACTCTTTGGGACTCTCCGGCCGCTCCAGAGCCTCGTCCAGCTTCTCCTCCTCCGGGCCGGGGTCCTGCCCATCTGCGGTGACGGCCTTGGCGGCCAGTGCGTCCATGCGGGCGGGGGACATTAAGGCAGCATTCAACGTCTCACAGCCTTGCAGGCTGACCATGGTGCTCTTGTCCGAGAACAGGGGCCTCGGGGGGGGTGGCTGGCTGGCGGGGGGCCCGCCCGGGCTCTCCGGGGCGGGCAGCTGTCTCTGCCAGTCGGGGAAGCCCTGGGAGCAGGGGTAGTACGGAGTCCGCTGGTAGTGATGGTAGGAGGGCTGAGGCGGCGGCTGGTAGGAATACCTCATTCCCTGGTGGGGCCGATACCGGGGGAAGACCCCCGAGGGGGGGCTGCTGGGGTGGAAGGCCCGAGGCGGGAAATGCGACGGCTGGGGCCCCGAGGGCTTGGCGCCCAGGGCAGGGCCCAGGCCCTGCAGGCCGGCGCCACCGTGGAAGGGGGCAGCCGAGCCGGCGTACTCCAGGCCAGGCAGGTACAGGGCAGGGAACTGGCCCAGGGCGCCCGCCGCCGCACCGGGGTCTGCGCCGGGAGGCGTCGCAGGGCTCGGCCCGGCACACGGCACAGGGTCCTGCAGCGCTTTGCCCCTGGGGCAGAGGGGCTGTTCCAGGCCACAGCCACCGAGGCCCTTCCCCTCCGAGCCACACGGGGGCCCTTCGGCCAGCACCCCGTTCTCGGGCAGAGCCCCTCGGCCCACCAGCGCCGGCAGGTCCCGCGTGCACCCCTGGGCTGTGGGGCCGGGGTAGCCGCTCTCCGAGGCCCAGGCACTCTTGCCTTTCGCCGCCCGGCAGCTGTCTTCAGAGGCTGCGGGGCCGCCCGGCAGCTCGGGGCCCTCGGCCCCCCTGTCCCGGGGCGAGCTCTGCCGGGGGGGCGCAGGGTGAGGTAGCTGCTGGAGGAACCTGCCGTCGGAGGCGCCCGCACCAGGCGGCTTCTCGAGCCCGGGCAAGGGCTCTGCTGCAAGGGAAGCAGAGAACGGGGCCAGCTCAGCCGCCGAGACGACAGCGCCCGCCCGGTGAGAACGGGCGGGGGGGGGCTGCGGCCCCGAACCCCGCGAAAACCGCAGGCACCTCCATGCCCTCCTGCTCCTGCTCGCAGGCCAGGAGGCAGACCCGCGCCTCTGCGCCCGCACAGCGGACCTGCTCCAGCCGGCAGCCGGGGGCACGGGCTGGGCGGCTCCGAAACTCAACCTGCGCAGGGAGGTCGTCCCCGGCGGGCGGGCGGCCCATCAGAACACACGCCCCAGGGTGGGGGCCTCGCTTCGTGCCCCACGCGACCCCCAGCCCCTGCGCAGACCGGGGCATCAACGCTGAAGGGAAACACCCCCCCATCTGAACGCCACCAAAGCACAAAGCCTGCAGCGTGAACCTCAGGAGCCCTTGCTGATGTGTTACAGAAGCTTGTTCAGCCGCACGGGATGAACGTGTTGGACTCAGGTGCCGAACGACAGCCTCGGAGTTCTCCGCCCGCGACGTCGACCCGCGAACGTGGCTGCGCTGCCGGGGCCCGTAGGGCACAGCAGAGCGGCGGCCCGGCGAGGCCACACACCACCCGGCACTCCACGTCAAGGACAAGGCCGGCGGCGGCACGCAAACACTCCTGCAGGCCTCCCAGGACCCCAGGCTGTGAAGGTGGAAGGCGCAGGCTGCCCAATGAAAGCCGAACTTTGTGCCTTCTGTGCTGTGTGGCCGACACGGGACACGGGGACGACAGCCTTTCCCCAGGAGCCACGGGCGCCGGGAGACCGGCGTCAGAGGGCTCCGCCAGGGCCACCGGTCCCAGAGTGGGACTCTCCTCTCCAGGGTCAGCCCGAGTCCCAGGCCCGCCACCCACGGGATCAGGGCGCTCCCTGCCTCCGACTCGGGTGCCCTCTCCTAAGGGGCCTCCGAGGACGCCTGCAGGGTCCACTGCACCTCACCCCTGTCCGCTCCCAGTCCGCAGGGACGTGCGCCCGGGGGCACAAGGACAGAAACAACTGGACTTCCAGCCCCTGCTGAGACCTGGCCCCGCGCCCCGGGGGCTGGAGACGCGCGGGCTGGCTCCAGGCTGCCCGGGAGCAGCTCAGCCCCGCCCCTTGAGAGGCCTCGCCAGGCCGGCCCCCGCGGCTCCAGCCCCCGGGGTCGCCGTCTGCACAGACAGGGCCGAGGACGGCCGTGGTCGGAAGGCTCTCGGCCAGGGAGGCTCGCGGCCAGCCCGTCAGCACTGCGTCTGCGTGGGGGTCAGCACCAGACACCCTCTCGGGTGTCTGGGTCAGAAAGGGCACCGGGGCTGCCTGGGCCCTGAGCGGTCCGGGAGGAGGCGGCTGGAAACCAGTCGACGTTTGGCTTCCTGCCGCGTAGCGAGGTCCCGCACGCACCGACAGCTCCCAGGGCGAGAGTCGGGCGGAAGCGTCAATTACCTGGGTCGTGCTCGGGCTCCTGCGTCTCGCTGTTGTCCTGTGTCCTCCCGGGGTCCCCCAAGGCAGGCTTGGGGACTGGCAGGCCCACCGGCACGGTGTGAGCCCCCTGCGGGAAGGGGCCGGGCACGTGGGGGGGAGCGGGCGGTCGGGCATAAGGCATGCCGGGTGGGCAGACGCGGGAGGACAGCTGCTGCATGGCCAGCATCTCGGGGCTCTGCATCATGGAGTCCCCGCCCTGCACCCCGCGCAGAGCCTGGGAGGGGGCTCCAAACAGGGGGCCCGGCGCCAGCGGCGGGGGCTGCAGCCGGTGCCCAGCGGGCCTGCAAGGGGGCCGCATGTACCCCGGAGGGGGAATGCCGTGAGGTAGGAAACTGGGGCGCTCGGCCCACTGGCTGGGGGGCGGCGGCGGCGGCGGCCGCATGCCCCGGGAGTCCCCCCCCGCATGGCCCAGGCTGCGCGGCTGGTGCGGGAGGCCGGCCTCCAGAAGGGCCTTGTCGCCGGGCCCCGCAGGCCCGGGGTTCACGGCGCCATGGTTCCCGTTCCAGACGGCAGGGTGAGCTCGGCTCAGGTATTTGTACGGGCGGTACACGTGGCTGGGAGGAAGTTCCGGGCTCTCAGGGAAGTCCAGGGGCCGGGCCGGGACCCCTCCGTGCCGGGGCGCCATCAGCCCGGGCTGGAACTGAGCCGGGGGGTACATGCTTCCGTCCCCACCGGGGCCACTCCCGTGCCCGAGGCGCAGGGGCCCCGGGTGCGAACCCCCGTGGGAGAGGTGGGCCAGTCCCCCACACACAGGCTTCTCGTCAGGCGAGCCCAGCCCGGGCCCTCGGCGTTTGTCTGTCCCGACCGGAGGCTGGCAACGAGAAGAGAGGGTACGGCCGCGCTCAGCAGACCTGCCGCGCAAGGTGCGTCCTCTCGGGCGACGGACCTCCCAGCGTGGGCGGCAGTTACGGCACCCGCCGGGGTGGGGCGGAGCCTGAGACTTGCCGGGCTGGCCGGGGCAGGCCGCTCACCTGCACAGCAAACGGCTGTCGCTGCTGCACGGGCTCCCCGGGGTGCGGCTCGGGGACCCGGGAGGGGACGAACAGGCCGGCGGGGTCAGATCCTCGGAGAGGGCCGAACGTCCCGGGCACCGCAGGCCGCTGCAGGGTGCCGCGCGAAGGCACGGAGGACGGGAAGGAAGGAACAAGCACAGGCTCGGGAGCGGACGCGGCAGCCCGCCCACCCCCAGCCGGCGCAGGGGCAGGGCTCCCCGGGGGCAGGGGCAGCCCCGGGGCCCGAGGCCCGCCCCCACGCAGGACGGACAGGCCGGAGTTCCCAGCCACCTCTGCCCTCCACAGCCACCTCGAGGTGCCCGCCCCAGTGCCTGCCCACACCGAGGCATATCAACACGGAGGAGGTAGGACGGTCGGATGGACCAACGGGGAGAAGGAGATCCCTGCACGCCCCGCCCCCCCAAGGCTCTCTGGTGCTGCGACCGCGCCCACCGGCACCGACACAGCCGGGCCCAGCCTCCTCACCGTCTGGCCCAGAAGAGGCGCCTGGCTGGGCGGCCCGCCGCAGTGCGGGGGGCGAGCGAGGCCCCGGCCGCTGGCGGCCCCCGTGTCCCGAGGGGGCTGCGCGGGGCTGCTGCCGGGGCCGTCTCCGGACGGGGGCGGGGCCCGGCGGGAGGGCGGCAGCGCTTTCCCTCCGTTCTCCGCAGGCGCCTGCTTCCGGCCGGGGCCCTCGGGGTCGCGGGAGCGGGTGCACACCTGGCCGCCGCCGCCCCGCCCCGCCCGGCCGCGCCGCTTCTCCCGCTTCTCGTCCTCCCTGACCCAGAACTCCTCGTCCGTGTCCCCGTCCTCGCCGGGGAAGTGCTTCGCCATCGCCCGGTGGAAGCACCGCTCCAGGTTGTCCGACATCTTGGTGTACTCTGCAGGAGAGGCGTCGCTGGGCGCCGGGGCCGCGCCCGCAGGGCAGGCAGCCCTCGCCCGCACCCCCCGGAAGCGACGGGGCAACTCGGGGCTCCTGTCCCCAGGGCTTCCGGGCGGCGTGGCTGGGACGTAACTGAGTTCCCACTGGCTTGGGGGGGAGTTGTGGGGTGTCAACTACAACCTCGGAGCCCCCTCAGATCTCAGACTGCAGCACGCGGAGCCCCGGCCAGGAGCCTCGCGCACCCTGTCAGCGGACGCCGCCTGTGCCTGTGCGCAGCTCTCAGGCGGCCGACGAGCGGCCCTACCCTGCGTCTGTGCTGTCAGGGCCACTGTCCCACGCCAACGGCCCCCCCGCCGCCTGCAGGCGACAGGGAACAGCGGTGCCCACGGCCCCCAGCTGCTTCTCCCCGGCAGGAGGGGGCTCCTGAGGCAGCGCGCAGCCAGCGCGGCCCACTGCGAGGGGTCTTGTGCGCGTCCTCCTCCCACCCGGAGGTGGGCCGGGGTCGCTGAGACGCACGCTGCTCAGGGCGAGGGTGTCTCCCTCTCGGCCCCGAGGGCGCTGCCCCGCTCACCACTGCTCTCGCCGTTGTACTTCCGGCAGTTCCTGAACATGGTCTTCATGTCACTCGCAAACTCCTCCTTGGTGCAGTACAAGCCTCCGTTCAGCTTCTTCTCCATGCTCGAGATGTCCATGGGGACCTGAGACGGGACACGCCAGGTCACAGGAGGTGGGAGACACACGCCCTGACCTGCACGGGGCCCAGGGGTGCCACTGCTCTGAGCCACTCACGAGCTGGAGCCTCCAGCGGCCCGGCTCTCGGGGACCGCGGTGAGGCCACTCCCACCAAGCCAGACACAACACAGGAAGCGGGCGAAACGCACGTCCCGCGAGGGGTGACCATCCCGTGAGGGGGGTGACCGTCCCGTGAGGGGGGTGACCGTCCCGTGAGGGGAGACCGCGGAGGGCTGGCTACCTTGATGATCTGGTAGTAGTTGGGGGCGTACGACTCGTCCACAGGCTCCAGGAAGGGCCAGGAGTCCTTGTGCGCCTTGACCACGTCTAGGACTGAGAGCCAGAGGACGGGCTCAGCACCGGCAGAGCACGCCGCCGGGACCCGCGGCGGGGGCGGGAACTGACCTTTGTACATGGCGGTGACGTCGTCGTCCAGCTCAAAGCTGCAGGGCCACGAAGTGAGAAATCAGCACGGCGGCGACCGCGGGCCCAGGTGGCAGCGCCAGGGCTGGGCAGAGGCCCGGCGACGCCGCCCGAGACCCGCCAGCGACAGCGGCGCGCTCCAGAGCAGGCGGGGGGAGGGGCGTGGGGTCAGCACGCTCAGCCGGAAGGGGCGCACGGCCTTTCCCTTTGTGCGGTGACGCACTGGCCCACCCAGGGCCCCGTGCCGGGCGTCTCACGGCAGCACGCCCGTCCCCAGGCCTCGCCAGCGCAGCACGGAGGCACGGCGCGCGAGCACCGCGCAGCACCCGCCGCACGGGTGTGTTCAGGGTGCAGCGAGGTCAGCGCCCACTGGCACAGGCCCGAGCTGAAGTAGCGGCCACAGGGGGCTGCTGCCCGTGCTGCAAGTACTCACAGGTCCTTCGTCCTCCTCTCGTCCCTCGCGGGGGAGCCGGGGTCCAGGTGGGACAGCTCCCGGGGCAGCTCCTTCCCCTGGGCCAGCAGCCACGCCCGCTCCTCCCTGAGCCTCCGCCGCTTCGCTCGGTCTGCGTGGACACAGGCGCGAGGCACCAGTGAGGCGCGGCCAGGGAGGCGCGTCCTCTCTGCGGAGCCAGGCCTCGGTGACCCGTCCTCGCCACCCGAGGAGGGGGAGGCGCGGCCCCGGAGCCGCCTCGCGACTCCACTCGTGCCCCCACAGGAGTCGGGCGCCTGCGTGGAGGAGTAGAGTGCCTTGGGGCAGCCGGAAACCAGCGCTCCTCCTGGCCGCCCCGCGCGCCGGCGGAGGGAGGAGGGCAGCAGACAAGCCCTGGTCGGGGCAGGCAAAGAGCAAGGCTGAAGAACGACAAAATTGGAAGAAAAAACAAAAGCGGAACAGAAGGCTGAGGGAGAATCATCTTTGCCACCGCTGCAACCCCTTCCTCCTCCCCGAAAGGGCGACGGGCAGCCCAGGACCAGGCTCTCGGACCAGGCCACACGGACGTCCTTGCACGCCTCCCGGCGCCCGAGGCCTCTCGGGCCCAGCGGCACCGTGCACGGCAGCGGACCCCCACCGGGGCAGCGGCGACGGGGTGGCGGGCTGGCAGCTCAGGGAGCGACGCCCTGCAGCTGGCGGGGTGGCGGGGACGGCCCTTTCCCGGCTCAGAGAGACACACCTGCCCTCCCAGGAGGTCGGCAGGAGGGGAAGGGCGGGAGGGAGAAGCCAGGACAGGCCTTGTTCTCCCGCCCGCGTGTTCCCGCGTGTTCCAGCTGACACGTGTCTGCAGCAGCGTCTCTGCTGCCACATTCACTCCGTGGACGGACCAGAGCATCTGCTCCAATCAATCAGAGGCACTTTGCTATGAACAACCTCTAAAAACTGTTCATGTGTTTAAAGAGAACTACTTCAAGCTTAGAGAGAAGTGTAACTACATTAACGGGTACCCCTGCATCTACCAGGCAAGCTGTCAGAGCTTAACATTTCCACCCGGACTTGCACACAGTGCTTCCCAGGCTAATAACCCCTTTTCCAGCTGTCTGCAATTTTGTTGCCTCTCGTAACACTGTAATGACCGTGCTTTCCACAAGACATTCTTGCCGTGGGCATGGAAGCCCTCCCGGAAACAGACCCTGCGCGGAACTGTCGGATGGGTGCGTGTGCTGCCTTCGCCGTCCCAGTGCCGAGGGGCCACGGCCGCTCCTGGCACTGGCCTCGAGCGCCACTTGGTCGGGTAACAGCCAGCATTCTGCCAAACGGAGGGGCGACACGGCCTTCGGACGGTTTCACTTCCACTTTCGTGACTGGCGTGATAATGCACACACTGCAGTTTATTCATGCCCTGCTGAACTTCCTGCTCATACACTTGACCCTTGTGTCCCTGTGGGGTTTGGATTTCTTACTGATTTGGAGAAGTGCTTTGAATACTCTGCTGACTGTGTGTGAAATCTTCTTCTTCTGCCCTGGGACTTGTCTTTAACTCTGTTTGCAGTGTTTCTTCCACATGTAAGTTCTAAACAACATAGCAAAATCTATCCTCCTCTCTCCCCTTACAGTTTGAACTCTTCTTTGTACTTAAAAATTCCCTTTTTATCTCAGTATCTTCAAGGTACTCACCTGTATGTTCTTCAAAACGGTTTTGTCCTTTTGTCTACCTGGAAATTATTCTTGCAGGAGAAGCAAGAGACGGAACCCTCCCCAGCGCCCACCAGCAGGCAGCTGTCCCAGCGCCCCTCGCCGGGGCCCGCCCCACTGCACTCACCGCCCACCCTGGGCCCGCGCCCCGGCCTCAGTCACTGTCACTCTTGTCACCTGGTAGAAGGAGGGTTCCCACCACGTTGTTTTTGGAAATTATCTTAGCCCTCTGCTTCTCTGTGTGAATTATAAGACTATAAAATGTTTTTTTATTATTAAACATTGAGTCAGAGTCAAAATTTCCCACATGTTCCGTAACCTCTTAAGAAGTCGGGTTTGCACGAATCACCAAGACAGGTGCACCCACCACCCACGGGTGGCACCTCCGACGCGGGTTGAACCGCCCACACGACGGGGACTCGGCTGAGGGCCTCCCCGAGGGCCCCTCTGCCCTCGGGGTTTCCTGTAAACCTGTCGGTTCTGTGTGGGGGCCTTGGTCAACCAAGCGTGATTTCACTGGGGCTGACAGCCAGGCCCATGAACTCAGCTGCCAGCCACCTCGCCTTTTCCCGTTCCGCACGGAGGGCGCCGCAGAGGTGGGAGTGGGTGGGGCACGGGGAGGAGGGTGTGCATGGCCCTCACCCAGCGGGGGGGGCCAGGAGCCATGGCAACGAGGCTGGACCCCGATGGATCCACAGCACAGAAGACAGCTCTCAACTCGGGGCCGAGCCGGGACCGGCCAGCACCTGGCCAGAGCCGGCTCCCAACTCCCCACCCTGCAGACCGGCCCGGGGCAGGGCTCCGGCTGCAGGAGCACCCACCCCCACCACGCACACCTGCCCGCAGACCACCCCTAGCGCCCACACACCTTCCACGGCCTTGACCTTCTCCTCCAGCTCCCGCTTCTTCTCCTCCCGCAGCATCTGCTCCTGCTCCTTCCTCTGCACCGCGAGCAGCACCTGGCGCTCCTCCTCCTCCTCCCGGCGCTTCTGCTTCTCCGTCCGGGCCGGCAGAGGCGTCTCCTGGGAGGGGCCAGCGGGTGGGAGGTCAGTTCCTCCCTCTGAGCGAGAGCCGGCGTTTCCTGATTTCGGTCTATTCAGGAGGTCGTACTGGACAGCTGGGGAATCGATCCCATTCTATCACCCGAAGAATACACACGAGCGCACGCATACACACACACACACACATGCACACACACACGCTGACAATAAAACACAACGGAGACAGGAAGCGGAGCCCAGGGGTGGGCCGGCGGCCGGCACTGCGTGCGGTCCCTCGCAGGGAGGCAGCCCGTCGGGGACGTGGCGGCCGGAGGAGCACGCACGGCGGGCCAGAGACCGGGTGGTGTCTGGACCTCACGTCCGGTCCCAGCGGAATCTCACAGAGCACCCTCGTCTGAGGTCGCCAGACAGACTCCGCACTGTGACCCCTCAACTTTGGTGTTGATACACTTTATCGATTATGCTGTTACAGTCGTCCCATTTTCCCCTTACTCCCCTCCACCCTGCACCCTACCTCCCACCAGCATTTCCCGCCTTAGTTCGTGTCCAGCGGTCACACACATAAATTCTTTGGCTTCTCCACTGAAATCCTTAACTCTTATACCTCACTAGTAAAACAATGAGTAAAACTGGGCTTTGGTGGGAGGACCACCATTTTGCCTTAAACACACTGGGAATCTGCCTAAGAGCTCTAATGAAAGAGGACTACTACCATACTTCATTCACGTTCTACTCTGTCTGTGTGCCTCCAGAGTGACTGATCGGAGCTGTTCCGTGACCCAGGACACTGAAGCAAGCACTGAAACTGCTTGTTTTCAATTTCTGCCCAGGTCTTTTGAGCTGATGTAAGAGCTAGACCTCTTTCCTAGAACTGGTAGAGAAGCAGCAGTAACTACCGTCTGCAAGAGAAAACACGTTTGGGCCGAAACGTACTCGGAGATGTGAAGCTTCTCCTCGGGGGTCGTCAACCCCTGGGAGACGGCCCCAGGAAGCAGCCTCGAGGATCCGTCACGCAGACAAATCTCGGTTTCACCCTGGGGACCCCACACAAGGGTCCCCCTGTGGGGAGAACGCGACGCCGTTCACGTCATCACTCAACACCGAAACTGCCTGTTAAATCTACGTTATTTTCTTTCCAGTCCTAAAACCAGTTTAGGGAAGACTAGGGAAATGAGGAAGAACAGAAACATCAACCACAGTTGCTGCACACAGAACACGGCACTCACGGGGAGCCTCCACAGACCACCGACGGGGAGGGCTTCTGACAACCTTCATCCTACCCCACAGCTGGGGCAGGGGGTCTCGCGCAGTCGATGCCGTGCCGTAACCGGGACGCTGCGGCCCTGAACAAGGGCAGCTCTCCGAGGAGGGCCCCTCCCCGCACCCCACCAGCTCTGCCCGCCCCCCCATCATCCCCTTTAGGCAACAGCTTCACGGCGGAACAACCCCAAAGGGCTGCTGTCACACACACCGGGACTCCAGGGAAACACCTTCGTGCATCGGTTCAGGGCGGGGACACACACACACACACACGTGCGCGCGCACACACAGGAACACACACACGCACACACACAGGAACACACACACACACAGGAACACACACACACACAGGAACACACACACACACAGGAACACACACGCACACACACAGAGGAACGCAGCCTTGTCGAAGGGGCCCCTTCGTTCGCGGAACACTGCGCGCTGCAGCACTGCCCACGCCGCAGACACAGTGGACGAGGGAAAGGGCACACATTCACGTGTGACGATGGCTCTGCTCACGTGACAAAGGGCAGCAGTGGAAGGGGACGTTAGATTGACCAGAGTTTCAAGGACTGAAAACATGCAAGCCGGCGACTCCCAAACAGAAGTATTAAGCCAGGCCCTGGCCAGTGTGGCTCGGGTTGGCTGGAGCGTCTTCCTGCGAGAGGAAAGGTTGTGGGTTCGATTCCTGGTCAGGGTGTGCATGAGAGAAAACCAACAGTGTTTCTCTCTCCCTCCCTCTTCCAGCCCCTCAAAAATCAACAAGCGTGTCCTCAGGTGAGAATTACATAAAAACAAACCACTAAGTCATCTGGAAAACATGGAAACATTTCACACGGTAAGTCAATGGAAGCGGAAAAGGGGGGAAAACAGTTAACTACGTAAATCATTCAAATATCTGTGTCTTTTTATTACAAATACGGTGATTTATTACTCTGAGCCACCTCCAAAGCAAACAGGACACAAACACAAAACTCACCGAGTTTTGTGCAGGAAGAGAACACCACAATGGCCCCTTCGCTCACAAAACTTTCAGACACCATGGAAGCGACGCGCCGGCAAAGCTGTGGTGAAATGAGCGCTCCAATCCCAGGGCTCCCCCGGGGGACCCCCCCGGGTCGGGCATGAGAAACCCCGCCCGGAGGGACACCCTCACACGGACAGGCCGGCACCACGACTTCTGCGGCGGACTGACAGAGGGAATCCCAGTCGTGGACATGCAGGCAACAACGGTTCCGTTCTGGGCGCTGCGGACGGACACACACTCGCACGGTGTCCCAGGAAACCACAGGCACGGCCGGTCGGGAGGGGGCCGTGTGACCCATGCACAGAGAAGGGCCCGGAAGCAAACGCACGCGCACAGTGATGACCCTGGGGCGCACAGCAATGACCCCGGGGCGGGGCAGGGCGGCCGCCTCGCCGCCCTCGGCACGTGGGCTCTCGGAGGCTCTCTCGGACGCAGAACCTCCCCAGGGAGCACTGCAAGCCCCAGAATGACCTGGTTTTCACTAATTTTTACCTCCTGCAGTATGCGAACCCTGTTAAAAGCGTAAAATTAAATATGTCAAAGTATCAAAAGGTTACAACTTGCAGACTTTTAAGGTAAAATATTTCAAGTGGACTATAAACACTTTAAGGTATTTTGGTAGCTATGAAACCCAAATTTTAAGACTAAGAAACTTACAGATGTAAGTGATTACTGCAAATCAGACACTCTCCACCACGTGAATAAACAGGTAAAAATTACTCTCACAGTTTGACCGAAGTGAAATCCACACATAAAGTCGGTGGTTTGCAGGTGCACAATTCAGTGGCGTTAAGTACACTCACAACGTCACGCAGCCACCACCTACATCAAGTTGCGAAACAGGTTCAGGGCCCCAGAGGAAAACCTGCACCTGCCCCGCCGCCACTCCCTGCCGCAGGAGCCCTGCCCCCGGCACCCCCGGGTGCCCCGCCTCTGTGGGCTCCTTCAGTCCGGATGGTTCGTGTGCACAGAACCGTATGCTATACGTCTACTCAGACTCAAACACACTAACGTTCGTGCTAAACATGTAAGCCATAAAAACTGAATTTATACAACTCAGTAGCAGAAAAATTCAAATAAAAAATGGGCAGATGGCCCTGGCTGGTGTGGCTCAGTGGACTGAGCGCTGGCCTCGAATCAAAGAGTTGCCGGTTCAATTCCCAGCCAGGGCACAGGCCTGGGTTGCAGGCCAGGTCCCCTAGTAGGGGGCTTGCAAGAGGCAACCACACACTGATGTTTCTCTCTCTCTTTCTCCCTCTCTCTTCCCCTCCCCCAAAACAAATAAATAAATAACATCTTTTAAAAAATGGGCGGATAATCAGAAGAGACTTTTGCCAAAGACATACAGATGACCAACAGGTGCAGGAAAAGGTGCTCAGCATCACTAATCATCACAGCGATGCAAATTAAAACCACAATGAGACACCACCTCACACCTGCCAGAATGACCACCATCAATCCATCAACAAACAACAAGTGCTGGCGAGGACGTGGAGAAAAGGGAACCCCCGTGGCCTGCTGGTGGGAATGCAGACTGGGGCAGCCACGGTGGAAAACAGTGTGGAGAGTTCTTGAAAAAAGTTAAAAATGAAAGTGCCCGGGACCCAGCAATCCCACTTCTGGGAATTTAGCCTAAGAAATTCAAAACACGAATTCAAAAACACATGCATCCTTATGTTCACTGCAGCACTATTTACAGCAGCCAAGTTCTGGAAGCAACCCAAGTGTCCACCAGTGGACAACTGGATAAAAATGTGGTATGCAACAGAGACAGGGGTTGAACCGCCCTGGCGAATACATAAGGCTTCTCCTTACTACATAACAGGTGAGTGGAGACAAAGAAATATGGCCCAAATGAAAGAACAGATCAAAACTCCAAAAGTAGAACTAAGTGATGAAGAGACAGCCAACCTATCAGATGCAGAGTTCAAAACACTGGGAATCAGGATGCTCACGAAACTGGTAGAGTATGGTCGCAAAATAGAGGAAAGAGTGAAGGCTATGCAAAGTGAAATAAAGGAAAATGTACAGGGAACCAAGAGTGAAGGGAAGGAAACCGGGACTCAAATCAACGATGTGGACCAGAAAGAAGAAACAAACATTCAACCAGAACAGAATGAAGAAACAAGAATTCAAAAACATGAGGCGAGGGTTAGGAACCTCTGGGGCAACTTCAGACGTCCCAACATCCGAATCACAGGGGTGCAGGAAGGAGAGGCCGCCCAGGACTCCCCTCCAAACTGCCCCGCCAGAGGGCAGGGTGTTGGCCCTGGGCCCCCGGCCAGACCTCGCCCGCCTCACAGCTGCTCGAGCCCAGCCCACAGCAGAACGCTCCCACAGAGCCACCCTCAGCACTGGTATTGGGGGCCGGTGTTCTCCCCAGGAGTCAGAACCGGAGGACTCCCCGAGGTGGTAAGGCCGGGCGCCAGGCAATGGACGCAGGCCCAGGGTCCTGCGGTTTCAGCACAGCCACAAAGCCCAGGCCACAGTGCAGGTCGTCTCCAGGCCACCTGGTGCCGACAGACATCAGGATCGCTACCACACCATGGCTGCTTGTATCTAAAACTAAAGAGCAACGTCAACAGACGAAACAGCCCGCTGCTGAGAAGAAAGGACGTTTTATCTTGCAGGAGTGAGGGGGCACTCGGTCTGCAGTGTGGACACGCACAGCCTGACTCAGCCCAGAGTGGCGCCTGCCCGGGTCACGGAGATGGGACCCGGGTCACGGAGATGGGAGGGGGCCCGGCACAGAGCCGGAGGGCCAGGGCCGGGCGCCGGCGAGGGAGGACCTGGCGGCCGGGGATCGGGAGCAGGCCCATCCCAGACCTGCCGGGGCAAAGCTAACACAGCGCTGGGCCGTTCAGCTCCCAGCGAGAACACACCTGTGAGCCCGAGAAAAAAAGAAGTAAAAAGTAAACACAAATATTCAGAAGAAAATAAAAGTTTAAGTAAGTGTTTCCCTTTTCAGGCTCAAGGCAGAATACACTCAGTGACGAGACCTCGGCGTGTCCCGTGACACCGTCGCTTCGACGGAAGCGGCGCCCACACTGAGCCAGGCCGTGGGACGCCGCCGGACCGTCCAGGCCGGCCGCCCCCAGGGCGCACACCCACGACCCCTCGGCTGCGCCAGTGTTCCCGGCGGCTGACGCCGACGGGACAGCAGCAGCCGGAGAGCAGGCACGGCGGAGGACACGCAGCCCCTCCACGGACCCCCGGGCGTGCAGGCGGGCTGCACACAGACCGCACCCCGCTCCGGAGCACCCGCCGAGGGGAAGGCCCCGCGCCAGGTGCCAAGGGTGGGAGCAGCAACCCAGACGCGGTTCCTGAGGTCGAAGCTGCCCCACCCCCAGCGGAGCGGGGTCAACACGGGGTGGGGGTGGGGGGCAGGACTGCGCGTGGGGGGTGACTCTGAGGCGGGCTTTCGGAGGGAGCAGGTCCGCACGGGGAGACTCGTCGGAAGTCAGGAGTCGGAGAGTGTCCACGAAACCCCGGGGCACAGGTTCTGACGCCCGTGCCCTGGGGGAGCGGCGGGGGAGGGGCCGGCACCGCCGCAGCCGCAGGGACGCGCGTCCCGTCGGCCGAGCCGCCCAGCGGGGGAGGGACACGGGAAGCGGCTGACAGGCAGGAGCACAGACGCAGGGGGGTGTGGTCACAGCTGACTGAGGACGTCTTGGACGAGGAGAAGGAAACCCTCGGCCCCCAGGGAGGGCCTGCGTGCAGCCGGACGAGACCGGCGGAGCGGCCACCCCCCCCACACACAACACACATGGGGCAGGGGCAGCCGGCGCACCTTCTGCGCGATCATGCTGCAGATCTCCGGCAGGAAGTCCTCGCTGAGGAGCTTGTAGAGCTGCCGCTCCCGGAGGGAGGTCCTCTCCCGGAAGCTCTCCGTGACCTGTCTCCACTCTTCCTCCGTCTGGCACAGGAGCCACCAGGTGCCTTGGCCGGGCCCTTGGGAGCCTGGGCAGGAGGCGGAGGTTGGCCAACAGACCCCACGAGGGCCTCTCCCCGCTCCCTCTCCCGGCCCCGCTCCCTCTCCCGGCCCCATCTCCCCTGCACGGGGCGGGGCGGGCAGGACCAGGGGCCGGCCACCCTTCAGTGCACAGGGTGCTCCGTGCACTCTTGACGCTTCTGTCCCTGTCAGTGTGCGCGGCGAAGAGGGCACCCCGACCCAAGGCCACACTCGTGGCCCTCGTGGCCTCTCCTCTGACGGACGAGAACGTGGCAGGCACGTGGTCGTGCGTCCCCTCCCCTGCGCCACAGGCCGGGCCTGCCCTTCAGTGGAACCTCCCCCTCCTCGCAGACACGGACACTCCACAAACTGCCCTCCCGCCCGTCCCGGCCGCTGGGCAGGGAAGGGTGCTGCGAGAAAACGACAGCCCTTCCAGAAGTCACCCGCGCTACCCCCCACCCCCCGGTGTCTAGGTGCCCGGGCCACAGCAGCCGGGCAGCAGGGCCCCAGCGAAGGGAGCCGCTCCCGACCCGAGTCACCCGTCGGAAGGGGACGGCCCAGACCCAGCGCGAGGAAGGGAGAGCTGAGGGGCGGCGGGGCCTATCCTCACACACCCGACCAGCTCCGGGGTCCTCCCACCCCCGCCCCACACGGGCCATTACCATTTCTCGTCTGCAGCTCGGGCGCCGAGTTTTCTTCCCGCTTTTCGCTGAAACACAGGAAAAAGAGAACACGTGAAGGCGTCGTTCAGAACCGGCGTGTCCCCTGGAAGGCAGGCCCAGCAACGCGGAGAGCGTGTGAGCGTCGGGTGGGCGGGACCAGAGGGGCTGACTGCACCCACCCTGGGCAAACGCTAACTTTTAAAACGCGGAAATAAAACACTCCAGCAGGAGCTCTGCGCTGACAGTGAAATGCCAGGAAGGAAAGACGGGCGAGGACCCCCCAACACCCCACCCCACACCCCTGCGTCCTCCTGGACTCGGGCTGCGCTGGAGACAGAGGGTGCAGGGCGGGCGCGAGCGGGGCCGCAGCCGCTGAACACAAACCAGCAGACAACGGAGAAACAGTGACACAGGGAAACCCACCGTGGCCCGCCCCCTCCCCACCGAGGACCGCCGCCGCCCGCCCCGCGGTTAAAGGGAGCCCCACGCAGGGGCAAAGGCAAGGCGCAGGCCGGGGACAAGGCTGCCGCTGCCCACGGCCCTGGGAGAGCTGGTCCCAGCCCTTGGCAACAGAGCCCACCGAGCGGCAACCACGCCGAAGTCCAGGCATCGGGCGACGAGACACAGAGGCGCCTGCTCAGCGTGCCGGGGCTGGGGGCGCTGCCGCCGTGCCCGCCTCCTCCCGGACACCCCCCACCCCGCCACGGGACGGGCTGGGGCGCAGGGGCCCCGTCCTGCTGCCGGCCAACACGGCAGCTCAGGCCACACGTGGCCACTGCACGCTTCAAATGTGGCTGGCGTGACGGAGGAACGGAACTCTAAGTTTTATGTAATTTAAGGATATTTAAATACCGTATTGAACACAGAGCTCCGAGGAATAAAATCACCAGTAGAGGGTAGCACAAGTCCACGTACGTTTCTCCCCAGGAGTCTATGTCCCCAGCGCAAAGGTGCTTTAGCAGCGCCCACGGGGAGTGGGAGAGCGCGGCACGGCCTCTGGGCACAGGCGGGGCTGCAGACCGACTGCCACCGAGACCCAGGAACAGACGGTTGTGTGTGTGTGTGGGGGGGGGGGGGGGGCAGTCCCCGCAGCCACACGCCAAGGCCGGTCAGGCTGCCGGAGGGTGAGTGGGGCACTGCTTCTGGGTGTGAAACGCAGTCAGACTCTGATAAATGTAACAGTCTCTTTCTCTTTGCTAAAATTAAACATAAAGTAATTTAAAACGTGTTTAATGTCTTGACTTTATTTTAGGAAATCGTATTCTAAACAAAGCAAAGCACATTTGCTGCTAAAATCTCCCTGATGGAAAAGAATTAATTCCTGAACTCACATGCGGTACATAGTCCTACTAAAATGCTGACTGCTAACCACAGAACCACCTGCTGCACGCCCCCTGGAAACACGCGTGGCACACGTCCTAGAGGACCGACGCCGCGGGGCGGCACACGCCCGGCTCTCTCAGCGGGTCCCTCCCTGCCAGTGCCGCCCTCGTCCGATCAGACCCCAGCTGCCCCGGGCGCACCGGCCACTTCGCGCCCCCCCCAGTCCAGGTGCTGGGTCCTTCCCCGGCAAAGAGTCAAGGGCGAAGGGACGAGGGGAGGGAGGTTCCGCTCGGCAAAAGGCCCTGCGACCGTGCGACTCCCGAGGCGTCTTACCTCGCTGCAGCCTCCTCCTGCAGTTTCTTCCGCTTGGGGGGCCTTCCTCTCCTCTTCCCCGTTTTCCCAGGAACGCCAGAGACACCTTTCTGTCCTTCGCTCTCCCTGAGAAACAGCACATCAGACAGAGGCGTCCGGTCACGGTGCGCACGTGCTGTGAGCGCGGCTCTTCCGTCAGGGGGACGCACACAGGAACGACGGTGGTGCCCCCGAGAGCCGGCACTTCCCGACCCTGCAGCCTCAGCCAGAGCCGGCGCCTCCCGGGCAGCAGGGAGAGACCCGCAGAGGGCAGGAGGGCGGGAGGGCGGCCTTGCTGCGGGGGGCTGTGGAGGGGCTGGTCCCCACTGGGGGCACTGAGCACGGCTGCTCCAGGCCTTCCCTGAGGGCCTCCTGGTCCCTGGTCCCTGCTCCCTGGTCCGCCCCCAGGGGGGCCAGTGCCCCACTCTGGCAGGAAGGCGGAGTCTCAGGAGCGGAGCATGTGGCACGTGGAGGAAACCACAGCAGCCACGTGCCCGGGCTGCTGAGACGAGCCGCAGCCCAGAGCAGCCTCTGACCGGGGTGGGGGGCGCCGCCGCCGAGTCCGGGGCACCCGAGACCCCACCGCCAGCAGAGGCTCCAAGCCGACTCCTGCTCCTGCTGCTCCCAGCTGCCCGGGGCCACCCCTTTGAGGGCACCCGGGACAGGCAGTTCCAGACCGAGGGAACCACAGTGCCACCGAGGCCTTCAGTCCGCAGGGCATTCTCGCACAAGGGCGCCCGCAGCCCTGCCCGAGGTACCTGCTGCAGGCGAGCTCCCCGCCGGGCTTCCCCGGCACCGGGTCCTCCTTGTACATCCGCGTGCCATAGAAGTACCAGTACAGCGCCCCGGAGTTGTCCTCCCCCAGCGGCTCCACGCGCAGGCTGTCCGCGTCCAGGCCCTGGGTGCGCGGGCGGGGAGGGGAGGTGGGAGGACAGGACGGGAGAGAGGACTCAGCACTCACACCCGGACGCAGCCCCGCCTGAGAAGGCCCGGGGCAGCCGGTCGTCGTCCGAGACCCGGAGACCGGCTCCCGGCCCACCCCAGGCCACCCCCCACCGCCGCTGCCGTCGCACGGAGGAGAGAGGCCCCCAAAGCGAGCTGGGGGACGAGTCACAGGCACGGCCGGACTGCTCCGCGTGCGTCCACAGGGGGATGGACGGCGACGACAGGGCGGAGCCTGCGCTGCGCCGTCTCCCTGGACCTGCTCCCCCCGCCCCCCCCCCGCGAGCAGCCCACCAGGAGCCACAGTGACGACCTCTTCGTCCCGCTGAGACCGCGGCCCCGGGCCCAGCTGGCACTGGCCCCCCCACCGCTGCACACGCCTCCGTCTGCAGGAAGGACCGCGCTGCCCTGCACAGTGACGGCCACCCCGTGGCCACGGGCAGAAAGCCTCTGCCTGCCCCGTCCCCCCGAGACGGGTGTCTGAATGGACCCCGCACAGAACCCGGGGCAGGGAGGGCCCCCGGCCTTCTCCAGCACACTGGTGGTGGGGCGTGTGCGTGGTCGGGATGAGCTCACTGGCACAGGTGGGCTCAAGTCTCTGAGTTTTCGATAAACATTTTGGTTACGTTCAAATTCCAGGCCTCAGGAAACAAACTCAGTGGGTAGTGTGGCTGATGACCCAGAGACCGTTCTCCTGTGTCGTCTGCAACTCCACGCATGAGGAGGGGACGGAAGCAAACTCGAAATTCACCTGACATGCACTCCTACACACAGGTGCCTCGGAATCCTCCGGCCACGGAGGCCGTGTTTTCGAGACGCCACTTCTGCCAATTTGAGAGTCCCAGGACGAGCCCTGGCCGGTGTGGCTCAGCAGACTGAGCGCCAGTCTGTGACCCAAAGGGTCGCTGGTTTGATTCCCAGTCAGGGCACGTGCCTGGGTTGAGGGCCAGGTCCCCCATAGGGGGGGCACATGAGACACAACCACACACGGATGTTTCTCTCCCTTTTTCTCTTTCCCTTCCCCTCTCTCCAGAAATAAATAAAATCTTTTTTGGGGGGAAAAAAGGGTCCCAGGACCAGCTACACACACCAGGCTCTGGTGTCTCTTGGTATGCCCAGATTTTACATACTAGAGTACTGGGTATGGGGTTTTTTTTTTTGGGGGGGGGCGATTGTAAGACAGTGGTTTTTTCACAGGTGTGAAGCAAGAATTTCAAAAACATGCAATACTCAACTACTTAGGGACACTGACCTCTTCTCCCTAGACTGTCAAATTAAAAAAAAGACAGCTAACAGTAGGCGTCCTGTGAGTGGCTCAAATCACACTTATTTTCTGGTAGCGCACCAGCAAGTGTGCTCTCTGGGGTGCCAAGAGTGTGGGCAGTGAGCGGGCATGCAGGAGGCGGGAGAGGCCGAGCCGCCGCGCGGGGCCAGGGCGGCGCCGCACCTTGAGCAGGTCGAAGACGTCGTCCGCGTCCAGCCGGTAGTCGCAGAGCCGGTGCAGGATCTGCACCCGCGTGCGCAGCGGCAGGTCCTGGAAGCGGGCCTCCCTCAGCGGGTTGGGCTTCCCCTCCTCCAGCTCCCAGCGGTAGTTGATGATGTCCTCGAGGTAGCTGTGGAAGGTCTGGGGCCTGGCTCGCCGGCCCCAGCACAGAGACACGTTACTAACAGACACACGGTGGGGGCGGGGGGCGGGGGCTGGCCAGGGGCGGGGCTCACACAGGAACCACAGGAGGGTCTGCCGGCCCCTCGCAGCCTGGCGATGTCGCAGCACCTGCCGGCACCGCGCGCTGTCAGGCCCCAAACAGGGTGAGCACGGCAGGGGTTTCCCACAGAACAGGTTGTCTGACGTGAAGCCAGGCACAGCCACGCTGGTGACACAGGTCTGCGTCTCGCCAGTCGGCGGCACAGACCGGGCAGCTGCAGCCCACGGCCCGCCTGTGTGCACGCGGCTGGAGAGACTGCGCGGTCCGGACGGAGCCGGGCTGCCTGGCCCGGCCCCCTTCCACCTCAGGTTCACGCGCAGAGGCGGGAAGGACCCCTCGGACACAAGCGTCCGCTCCGGTGTGCGACCATCATGCTCTATTCCATTATCCATCGGTGCGAAGCCACGCGTTCTAAGTTTTGAAGAGAGTTTTTTCCATGGGAAACATTTAAGGCAGTTTGATGGCCACCGACATGCTTCTGGGTCAGACTTCGGTAATTCTGCACGCGCACTTTGTTTGGCGGGCACCAAAAACGGGCCTAGCACCTGACCTCAGGTTCCACTGTCAGACGGCTGCTCGACACCTCGGACCGCGCCGGTTCTGACGTGACATCTAATGCTCGACTCGAGAGCTCCCAGGCCCACACGTCTCGCAAGGGTTCACTGGAACCCGGTCCAGAAAGAGGCCCGCCACTGCCGTGCCAACCTGGGACCTACGGTAACGGTTATGCCGCTGGGAAAGTCAGAGGAAACAGGCATGGAAAAAACCAAAGGGCCCTAGGCAACCAAACCACATTTTCCTTTGGCAGAGAGAGAGAGACAACCGTTTCTTTGCGACGGGGGGACACGTGGGTGCGTCGGTTCGTCAGAGAGCCGGGACCCTGCAAACGCGGCAGGGGGACCCTCTCGGCCACGAGGCTGGCCCTGCCCTGCGGGAGGGGGAGCCGGACCAGGAGCCGTCCGAGCTGCTGGGAAAGCAGAGTGTGGCAGCGGTCGAGTCAAGCAGGAAATGCAGTGCTTTCGGACACCTGCTTGCGGGTGAGGGGAAGAGGGAGGTGGTGACGTCTCTTCGGTGATAAACCCTGCACCTACCCCAACAGGCCCCGCAGCACCTGTGAGGCACTCGCTGCACAGCAGGAGACGGGCTGGGCACACGGACCGACGGGCACACGTGCGCCCGACGGACTGTCAGCTGACCCCTCGCCCCTGGCCCAGAGCCCTGCCCCTCTCAGAGAGCCCAGGCGAGAGCCTCTCCAGCGGCCCCGCCTGTCCCCCTGCAACCTGGCCGCGGGCAGTTTCCTGGCCTGGCCTGTCCAGCCCGCCGCATCCCGAGACACCTGGCAGCTTACAGTTGAAGACCATTCGCTTTCCCTGACGGTGTCTCAGCCAAACACGGTCCAGCCGTGGACAAGAGGCACAGGGCTCCCTCGCGCTGAATGCTGGGACCGAACACTGCCCTCTGAGACCGGGGACAGTGAGTGTGCTCGCGTCCCGGCCGGCCGGCACCGCCGGGACGAGGCCAGGAAGGCCGAGGGGCGTGGAGTGGAAGAAGCGCGAGGGTCTTCAGCGACAGACCGCACGGAGGACCCTCGGGAGCCAACAACGGACCGGGAAGACCAGGGAGACACGGTCCGCGCACAAGAGACAACTGTGCTGCACACAAGCCAGCAGCGAACCCCTGGAAAGTAAACGTGTTAACTGCTTCCGTCCACGGTCGCGTCAGAAACACAGAACTCCCGAAATCAATGGAAAGATGCCCAGTACTGCACAATGCATCCCATAAAACATGGCTGAAATGAAAGAGGGCAAAGAAATAGATACGGATCGTGTTCAAGGACTGGGAAAGTCAATTATTTGTTCCGGGTGTCCATCCTCTCTAGCAGGCTTTTTGTTTCTGGGAGAAATGTGGGAGGACAAAAGCTACGCAGGTGCTGCCCCGACACCAAGGCCCCAAATCGCCGCGTGAACGCCCTCCCCCGGGGGGGGGGGGGGGCGGCAGCACCGGAGCTGGCGGCGAGAACAGGCCGGCCTTCCGGCTGCTGATGGCAGAGCCACGTGAAGGACCGCTGGCCCGGAGACACGTCCACCGGCACCCCCCCACCGAGGCCCCCGGCACAACCAGTTCCCACACGAAGTAAATGAGGCCACGCAGCCGGTTACTGACTGAGTCCAGCAGTGTCACGCCGGACACTGTGGCCATCAGTGGGGCTGGCGGCCGCAGCAGAGGAGGAGGGGGCTTCGTGAAAGCGGAGTCGGACGACGGGGGGTCCTCCCAGGTAGAACCCTCCACTCGACGGCACCCACGGTTTCTTTCCTTCTGAGTCACAGATTCTGTCTGCAGATTCACCTGAGACTTGAAAGGCCTTTTAAAGCAGAGGCCCACATACTCAATTCAGGCAGTCCATGAACTTGGTTGGGAAAATACTAATTTTCATCTTAACTAAACTCTAAAATGTCATGTTCAATTCAATTCGAAATGTAGGCAACAAAATACAGTAATTTTAGTGGTATGTGTATTTTTCATCAAAAGATATCAGATATATCTGACTGACAGAACTCAGTGGGGTGGGCATCATCCTGCAAAGTGAAAGGTTTCAGGTTCGATTCCCGCTCAGGGCACATGCTCGGGTTGCAGGTTTGGTCCCCGGGTGGGGCGTGCTAGAAGCAACCGACTGATGTTGCTCTCACATACCGATATTTCTCTCCCTCTCTCCCTCCTCATCTCTCTAAAAATAAATAAAATCCAAAAACAAAATTCAGATGCCTTCATACCCCATTACAGGTATTATAGATATCTTCACGTAACATTTACAATCATCAATATTTGACCATTAAAATAATCTTGCGAAATCAGGCTTGCTGCTAGAGCATGTTCTTTAATTAGTTAATGAAAAAGCCCATTGCTGTGTCAAAATTTTGTTACCTCAACATTTTTCCGTAGCTGGGCTCCGCCGTAACTCGCTGTTGCGACATCGCACCGTGCTCTCCGGCGGCGCACAGACGCTGCCGCAGGGCCCACGTGAGCCACACACGCCAGCCACGCACACGCCGGCGCCGCCGGTCTCAGGAGAACCGACTTCTCCCGCCGGCGTCCCTCCTCTGACTCATTTCCCACGCGGGGCTGGGCTCGGAGCCGACCGTCTGGCCGGCCAGGGCCCGACCTGTCCTCTGTCAGTGACCAGCTGTGACCGTGTGGCCTCAGGTGAGTCCTTCAACCCCCGAGGAGCCCGGGACGCCCCCCGGACAGGTGGGCGAGCACACCGTGCAGGGCCTGCTGCCGGGCGGAGGGGCCCTGGGAGGCGCCCAGCGCAGCCCGGGAACAGCAGGGGCCTGGCCGGAGCGTGCACGTTCCCTCCACGGACACAGGCTGCCGCCCCCCGCCCCCCCGCCCCGGGCGCCGACGGCGTGGTGGAGGACACGGTGGAACGGCGACCCGGGCTGTGTGCTGGCGCAGCGGTCACACGGGTTAGTGGGACGAGCGTGGCAGCCTGTGCAATCCTCCGGGAGCAGGGGCTGGTCACCTAGGGCCCCTGGGCCAAATCCAACTGACTCTGTCTCTCTCTTTCCAGCTACGAATAGAAAAGCCACTCTTGCTGAAACGACTGGGGGAAAACACTATTTATTTCACGACACGTGAAAATGATGTAAAACTGAGACTGCAACGTCCAGCAAGAGCTGATGAGACACAGCCAGGTGTGCAGCGGAAGCCCCGCCCACCGGCCCCACGGCCCCGCCCAGTCTGCTGGTGCGTTCCCGCCCCGGCCCCCCTTGGGAAGCTGCTGCAGCAGCAGTTCTCCCCCCCCCCCCCCACACACACACCCCCACACCCCCCCAAGGCGATCAGCTGCTGGAGACCTGGCTGCGGCTTCCCGCCCTCCCACACCTCCCCCGCACAGCGGCTCGGTGGGCGCCGATTCCGGCCCGTTTCACAGCCGGGCAGGGGGAGCGCGGACACCTTCAGTGACTTCTGACCCCGGTAAAAGGCAACTCTCAGAACCAGAGGCAGCGGGGCACTCATCTGCCCCCGTCCCCCTCTCCTTTCGGGCTGGGGTGACCGGAAGACCCCAGAGAGCACGAGCTGGCACCGGTGGTGCGCACTCGCGGTCCCCTGGTGGGACAAGGTGACCCCCACCGTGGGCAACTCCTTTCAACTCCAAAAGCAGAGTCCACCGCACAGTGGCTTCCGGCCCGGGTGCTCGTCACACAGGCCTGCTCGGCGTCAGCACCCGCAGGTGCCTGTCCCTGTGGGCGTGCGACACGGCAGCCACCGGTTCCTGAAAGGCTGGGGCCCAGGCCTCTCCCAGACCAGTCAGTTCACAACTAGGGTGCCACCAGCCCTGAAACGCATTTGATCATCCGCAAACATTTCATTTCATGTGCGTATAACGTTTTTACACAAATAAAAACCCTACATTGCTAATGAAAAATATTTTTTAAAAAGGAAAGAAAACCCACACTGGTCTCTGCCGCGCCCTGCCCTGTCACAGGTGCGCCCTGCAGAGTGTGGTCGGAGGATGGCTGTGGCGGACCACAGGCCTCCGTGCCCACCCCGCCCCCCAAGGGGTCGCGAGCGGAGCACAGGGCGCCGGGGCTTCCTCCGCTCCGGCCCCTGGCACTTCCCCCAGGAGCAGGAACGTCACCCTGCTGCTGCCAAAGCGAAGGTGAAGAACACCGTCCTCTCCTCCCCAGGTGCAGCAAGCACCTAAAGGTGTTTAACACCAGAGAAGGGTCACTTAAAAAAAATCAGCCCCTCGTTTCAGAAGACAGCATTCGGGACTCCCGAACACGGTGCTGTGGGAAGGAAGCAACGGCGCCCACGGCAGCTGCTGTGACACAGCTCGGGGACGGCGGGCGTGTGGCGGGGCGGGGGGCAGAATGGGGCAGGGCACCTGCAGGCAGCTGACCTTCCCGCACGGCTCTGCTGGACAGACACTTCCTGCACTTCGCCAGCGCCCTCTCCGGCTCCAAGGTGCGTGGGGGGCACAGCTCACCCTGCACCCCCTCTCTTCAAGGAGGGGGTGGGTTTCCCCTCTAAACCACACTGGGGGGGGTGCTTTTTCAAACATCGTTTTTTATGCTGCGAAAACGCACGGACTTCATGCGGAAAGCACGGACGTGAAGGGACCGACCTGCAGGCCCAGCACTCGGGCCCCGGGACCCCGTCCTCCTCCTCCTCCTCCTCCTCCCTCCCTCCCTCCCTCCCTCCCTCCTCCTCCTCCTCCTCCTCCTCGCCGTGTCCTCAGGGCAGACACATGACGGGACTCACTCGTCTTCCCGTCAACCAGGTGACCTGACAGAAACTTACACTTTCAGAGGGGCTTCCTTCCCTGCGAAAGGGCACCTTGCTGATCTGTGGGCTGGCGGACCTTCCCACCCCTCCCCCTCCGTCAGGAGGCCGGGACTGGGAAGCGAGCCCCAGTGGAAGACGCTGTGACAGGGAAGGGCCGAGCTCACGTCGCCCGAACACCACCCGCTCCTCCCCAGCCAGTCGTTCCCGTGGCGGACATCGTCAGTGTGCGTAAGCACTCCTCCCGTGCTTGCAGTGGAGACTAACGGAAGACGGGAAAACAGAATCATACGAGGAGGCTGCTACAGCCACTGACCCAAGCGGCAAACCACCACCTCCTGCTGATGACTCCGTCCACACGATTATCCAAAAACCAACCGGTCCTCGTCCGACAGCCCACCCCGCCACACACAGAACCTGTGGCACACCGTCAGTCACCACGCACGCGTGACCGGACGAAGCACACGACCCAACCAGGGTCGTCCAGGGCTGTGCTGCGGTCGGAGTCCACAGCTTCCGGAAGCCTGCGAGGCGAGCTCTGCCTGCTGGCCGTCACGGCCCGCACACCCTCTCCTCCAGGCTGAGCCACGTGGTGGGGCGACCGACCGAGAGGGCTCACAGCAGCGCCCAGCCAAGTGCTGGCAAGAGCCCACGGGCCACAGTCCTGCACATGCAAGGGCACAGCCTAGCCTAGGACCTCCATGAAGCCACACCCCGGCCACCGCCACAGACAGCCCGGGACCCCACGCAGAAGGCACCAAGGAGCCATGGACCACCTCTGACCTGCGGAACTGGGAGGTGCCGTGACCCTGAACGACCAACCCTGGAAGGCTGCTGTGCGCCAACGGAAAACAGAGACGGGGACGCGTCCCGGCCGGGGCCCAGGCCCAGGCCGGACTCACACAGCTGGGCCGCATCCCGATCTCCGGCCCGCAGACCCCGGGCCCTCCCCGACCTCTGCAGTTGGTTTCGGCCGCACCAAGCCCCAGGGTGACGGGCCCCACGGCGGTGGGTGCCTCCTGCGGCGTGGGGCAGGCACAAGTGCAGGTGCTGGGGGGCGGGGGCCCGAGGAAGTCAGAGCGACCACTCAACACGTTCAGGGTCCCACACGGGGCAGGTGCAAGGCAGACACAGAGTTTGTTCTAAACCGAGAAGTTCCTGAGGTACGAGTGTGATTCTACTCTTTAATTCTTAAAAAGATTTTATTTTTAGAAAGAAAAGGAGGAAAAAAGAGAGGGAGAGAAACATCCACGTGCGGCTGCCCTCTCGTGTCCCCTAGTGGGGACCTGGCCCGCGCCCCAGGCACGTGGGCGTCAAACTGGTCACTTCTGCCCGATCCACCGAGCCACACCCGCCAGGACACCACTCTTCTCTTAAGAGCACCAAAAACTACAGCAGCCGGGAGTGCATCTGGCCCAAATACATAAAGCTGAACGTTTTCACTGAGTAAATACGAACAACCTTAGAACAGAGACCAAAAAGCAATCTCAGCATCGTGAAGACGCCCCTTTCCCCAGGCCAAGCCCCGGGTCGTCGGACTACAAACAGAGGACCCTGCTCACGGACGCCGCCCTTCCCTGGAAGACCGGACAAGCAGGACGAGCTGAGGCCAGGGGCAGCAGAGCCAGAGCCGCCCACCAGGGAGGGAGGCGCCGTGCAGTCTGCTGCGGGAGGCGAGAGGAAGGCCGGGGACGGAGGTGGCCGGTCCCCCGAGCCAGTGGGCTCAGACCGTCAGAGCTCCTCTAACCGCTGCAGGCCGGGCTGTAAACACGAGGTTTCCTTCTGACGGCCGCCGCAGACTGCAACCGCGCCGCTCGCACTGACCCTGCGTCCAAGCCGCGCGGCACCTGCTCCTCTGCACCTGCCACCTGGGCTCTGCTCTCGGGCGGGGAGCTCGAGACCGTCACCTCACTGCCTGCGGGCCTTTGGCAGGTTCCCTGCTGGCTCCTCCACTGACCTGAGTATCGGGCTTTGCTGGTGCAGGCTCTGAGAAAGCCGGCACGTGCCAGCCTGGGCCACGTGACCACGGTCTCACGCAGGGTGTGCACGGCGGGGACCCCAGCGCGCTCGCACCATGGCCTGGGGAGCCGCAGCTGCGCCGTCCCTGCGCGGTCACCCCCACCGGTGCTGCCGGCTGTGTGCAGACAAGACCTGGTCCCGCGCCAGCGCCTGCGGCCGGCACACGGTTGGCCGCACTCCGAGCAGAGGCGGGGGGCAGCCTGGCAATGGCCCTGGCAAACCTGCCCGGGCGCCCCCCCCACCCCGAGGCGTGCACTCTGCGTCCAAGACCAGGGGATCGCACCTGTCTTCAGCAGTGAGACGCTGGGCAGAAACGCCCACCTACCAAACAGGATATTTTGGGTAACCACATTTAAAGAAAACCCAGCTGTAACGTGAAATTACACACACAACGTGACCGTGCCGTGCTCAACCCCCCCGGCACCCAGGTTCCACCCTGGGAGAGAGTAGGGGGGCCACGGAAAACAGCACCTCTGTGTCTGAGTGGCGGCACGGCCCGCGACCCCCCTCCCACCCCTCCTCTGTTTGGCCGAGGCCCGTGTCCCAGGGACGGAGTCGCTGTGCGGTCAGCACACCAGACGGGACCGCCAGACCCGGAGGCCCACATGTCCCAGCCTCTTAACTCAGTGTGGGGACGCATGGCCAGGGACACGGCCACCAAGGCAGGGTCAGAGCCAGGGCTGTGGCGGGGACACCCTCCACCTGTCTGCAGAGGTGCGGTCTCACCAGGCAGGTGAGGCGCGAGGGAGCCCGAGGCTCGGGGCGGCGGCTGCACTGGGCGCAGGAGCGCAGCAGGAGCGCAGCGGGGGCCGGTCTGAATCTGTTCGGCCGCGTGCTGCAAACAGAAACTGGCAAGGAAGGCACACCCCAAGCAGAAGAAACCCTACGCTCGCTGGTCAGCTGGGGGCTTGTGAGGGGACGGAGAGCCGCGCCCCGGCTCAGGGGGGGCTCCCTCGGGCGGGGCCGGTGGGGGGGGGCTCCCTCGGGCGGAGACTCACGTGATGTCCCTGCGCTGGTAGCAGCCCTGCAGCAGGCAGGCGACGAGGTCGCTGATGAACTCCGCGTCGTCGTGGTGCAGCGCCGCCTCCAGCTCCTGCGGGGAGAGAGCCAGCCGGTGAGAGGCCAGCTGGACGCAGCGCTCCTGGCGCACCCCCGCCCCGCACCACACCACCGGCCCCCCCCGCCCCCCCCCACTGCAGAAACTCGCGCCTCTTCCCGACAAGCAGCCTTCGGCCGGCGTGCACACGCTCCACTGCGAACACGGGGCGAGCTAGAAACTGTCCTCCGTGTGCTCAACAGGCCCAACGGGTGGCCCAGCTGGGCCGGCTGCAAGGGCCCCTCTGTTCTGCACGAGCACCGGCAGCGGGCCACTCGGCCACACGAATTCAGGGACACCACAGGCCCCCGGCGCAGGGCCACACGGGTACCGAGCCGCCGCCCCAGGGAAGTGAGGCCACGCCCGGCGGGTGGGTGGCTGGGGCTGGTGCTGGCTCTGAACCTGGGTGGGTGGGCCAGCGACAGGGTCCAGGAGGGACAGCGGGGACCTCCAGGGGGCCCTCTTTCTCTGCTCGGTCCCCTGGGATAAACTGGCATTTTCTGAGGGGAGGGAGGGGTGGCCGGGCTCGGGGTGTGAGCAGCCCGTCCCCGATCTCGCCCGGACCTGCAGCGCGGCGCCCCAGAGCACACCCCAAGCCTCTCCCCCGCACCACGGCCCTTGAGGGACCGTTCTTCGTCCCTCAAACTCCCACGTCCACCAACACGCCCTCCAGGAACTCCACGGGACGGAGGACGGACTGACCGACACACACACTCGCCGGTGCAGACGGAGCACCGACCGCCTCCAGGGGGCGCCCCGAGAGGGGAGGCCTCTGCGGCCGGCCCCCACCTGACACTGCCCTGCCTGCCTTGAGCACAAATTTGGGAATTATTAGCGCACCCGTAGCTGTGGCTCCTAGTCGTGTATTAACTTACTGTTTTCTTCGTTGTAGCTAGAGGTCGGCCAGAAAAATAAACGCTACCAAGCAGAGAACACGACTGCTTTCACGGAGCGAACAGGCAGTGGGCACCCACCCTGCGTGTAAAACAACGCAGTCCTTCCCACGCACTGGGAGCTTGGTTCCGTTCGGAGAGGCAGGAACGCACAAGGACAGACGGACAGACAGAAATTAGCAAAGGTGTCGCGGGAGTTGGGGAGAAAAAGATGACTCTAGCTTTTCCACCGAGACAGTGGGGGCACCTCAGGTGGAAGAGCCATGACCTGACCCCGGGGCCCACGGCCACACTCGAGTCCCTGGCAGGGAGGGGGCGGCTCAGGCCGAGAGCCGGACTCCCCTGGAGACAGCGGGGATCCACCTGCGAGAGCGCACAGGGGCCCTGGGGCTGATTATCCAAGCCCGCACCTGAAAGACGAACCCGGTATGGGGGGGCGGGGGGGGGGCAGCGGGCCCCACCCAGAAGGAGGCTTCCTGAGGAGGAGAAGGGCAGGGAGAGGGAGACACCCGGGTCCGGCCGACCTCAGGGAGAGGCCAGGGCAAGACCCGAGTGGCCCCCACCTGCAGCCGTGCCACCAGGCGAGCACGACTCGGGAGTGTGCCGCAGCGGGACCGCGGCCGCACCGCACCGGGCAGGCAAGCCAGGCACTGGACACAGCACGGCAGGTGAGCCCTCGCACCTCTGCTCCCGCGACGTGAGGTGGAGGAGCCACGTCTGGCAAGGTCCCGCTGCCGCCTGTCCCCACTGCTCGCAGTGGCCCCCAGCCACCCCCGGTGCCCGCCCCGCGCAGGTTCTGGTCTGGGAGCACCGCCACCAGGCCGCACCGTGTCCTGTCCACGAAAACCGTCCTCTGCAGGCCACCTGCCGAGCCGCACGCCGCCGTCCTTCCCCACCGCGGTGAACCAGGAGCGCCGCGCGACCCCTGACTGCGGGCACGGCCGTGTGCACTGACGGGCGCTCCCCAGTGCTTTCCCGGAGCACACGCGCCCCCCGCCACCTCAGCCCAGGGTCCGCCTCGGGGGTGAGGAGAGCGGGTCCCTGGCTCCTTACAGAAGAAGGTCGCTGCTACCAGCAAATCTACCTAAAAACCAGGGAGAACATGGGACCTGTTGTGAGGTTCCGGGTCTAAGCCGTCACCAAGCAGCACCCCTGCGCCATCTTCCCGTGGCTGCCGCCACACCGCCCAGCGGCACGCCAGGCCGCGGGGCGTGAAGCCAGGTCTTCGCGCCAAAACGAGAGCCAAGGCTGACGAAGGTGAAGCCTGGCACCAAACACAACACAGCCTTAAATCCAAGGGTTTCCACATTTTACTTACACGTAAATTATGAATTTTCAAGCTTAAAAATACTAACATTTTGTTAACCTGTGGCAGTTGGCACAAATCAAAATTAGTAAATCAGATCTACAGACTCTTTCTGAGTCTAAGAGCGAGTCACCTTAAACGCACGCCTGCGCTGAATTACCCGTCTGCAGCGCACCTACGGTGAGTCTAAGGCCACTTCGCTCCACACCTGGGCTGCTGGCGTCTCCCCCGGGTGCTGGCAGGCAGAAGACGGCGGGAGAGAGGCACCGACGCGTGAAACGTCCACAGACCAAGGACAGGGCAGGCTGTGAACCGGGAGTCACCCCCAACGAAGTCCGTGCGTCTCAGGTTCGGACAGGAAGGAGGCCACAGCACCCCACAGTCTCCCTGCCCAGGACCCAGGCTTAGCTGGCACGTCAACCCTGGATTTCTGAACGCCATCGGCAAGAACTGCGGACTGACCCCCTACCTTAATCTGAAAAAGTGGTGTAAGTGACCTGTCCAGCTGTGGTGGCTTGGCTACCGGGGCTGGGCGACGGCTCTCCCCAGGGAGCTGGCCTTGCCTGGCCAGCAGGCCCGCAAGAAGCACCCACAGCCGGCAGGCTAGTGTGCCGCCGGGCCGGCACGGCGCAGAGAACAGGCAGGCGTGAGCCGTCTCTCCGGTGACACAGGCACTGAGGGGAACTCGGTGACCCCTGCAGACACTGTCCTGCAGTCCCTGATGGGCCAGGGAAACTCCTCGTCAGCAAGAAAACGGGTCTCAAAATAGAAAGTGGCTTTAAAAAACATATTTGCACAATACCGTGCTTCATAAATCAGAAGCTACCTAGCTAACCCACCAAAAACACAAGCAGGCCCAGGGCAAGTCATGAGCTGACAAAGCCCCCAGTGAACTTCAAGTGCAGGAGCGCCACAGGCGAGGCGGTGAGCCCAGGCGGGCACAGCCCCACTGCGCCCTGCAGTGGCCGGCGGCCACCGGCGGTCTGTGCCGAGCCGGGGCGCCAGCGGCACTAACGCAGGCCCGGCTCACCGCCCTGTGCTGGGCACCGGCTACGCGCGTTACAGAAGGGCAGCACAGCAGAGAAACAGGAGGGCAACTCCAATCTGCTGAACGGGAGAACTCACTGGTCGGTTAAACATCTTCCACTTCGATGGGGACAGAGCCGGGTCTGCGAGAAGCAGATGTCCCGGGGGGTCCGTTTCACAACAGCGTGAACAGACTTAGCACGCACGGGACCTTGTGCCTAAACGTGGCTGAGGTGGTACATTTTGTGTCGTGTGTTTTTTGCCACAATTTAGAAAAAAACTCAGTGACGCATCTACTTCCAAGGGTGGGTGCACGGATTAAATGAGGCAACGCTTCATAGAAGGGCTTCCTCCAGCACACAGTAGGTGCTCTGTAACGACATCACGACGATTCCTCTTCCTCTCACAGGGTTTGTGTGTGGGGAGAAAAGCAACCGCTTTAAAGACAGAAAGTGGTTTCTCAAACTTGAGGGGTTTCTGAACAGAAGGCCACACTCTCTGAACGCACGGCCTGCGGTGCGCACAAGCCAGTGACCCCTCCAGAGAAACACAGGGAAGCGCAGGCTCTCCAAAGCCTCCCTGCTCGCGCCCCCGTGCGTGTGGCGCCGGGTCCCAGACTAGGGCCAAGCCCTCTCCAACACCCCCTCCCCTTTCTGCATTTCCTTTTCACCATGCGCAGCGAGCTGTGAGCGAAACCTGAACTTTGCCAAGAAAGCCAGCCAATGGGGGCCGAGAGGGGACCGGGCCCCTGCTGCTGGGCACGGCGAGTGGCTGAGGGAGGCGCCACGTCTGTCCCGGGCAGCTGCGTCACAGCTCATCAGGGACAAGTCCCTGTGACATCCCCCGACACCCCCCCCCCAGCAAGCAGAGGCTGCTGGGAAAGAACACAGGGGGCAGACTGGGCCGGGGAGGGGGAGGGGGAGGGGCCCTTGGGTCACGCCTCCGAAAAACACCTCCAGGCCTGCCCTTCCGAGATTCCCGGCTGCCTAATAAGCAAAGATAATCTCCAGACTCAGACTATCACTAGTTTTTATGAAGATTTATATATATATTTATTTATTTACTTAAGAGAGGGAAGGGGGGGGAGGGAGGGAAACATCCATGCGTGGCTGCCTCTCGTGCGCCCTCTACTGGGGACCCGGCCTGCAACCCGGGCGCGTCCCCCGACTGGGAACTGAACTGGTGGCCCGCTGGCTCACGGTCGGTGCTCAGTCCACTGAGCCACACCATCCAGGACACAATATTACTAATTTCTTTAATGTGCCACCTCTGTAAACAACTTTCCTTATATAATATAAAAGGTACTTCTTATTGCTTGATATATTCCTCATTCCTGCATCTTTTGCTAAAAATAATGCTAAAGAGAGAAACTTTCTTTTCTCCAATTTCCAAATTAGGGTAAAGACCACTGATTTCTACTACTGCCATCCAAGCACAATAATTCCTTTCAGCTTACTTAAGGAGGGAAATGGAGGCATAAAGAATGTCAAGCCCTGGCTGGTGTGGCTCAGTGGACTGGGTGCCAGCTTGCAAACCGAAGGGTCACCAGTTCAACCCCCGGCCAGGGCGCAGGCCCGGGTTGCGGGCCAGGGGAAGGCACAGGAGGCAACCGCACATGGATGTTTCTCTCTCTCCGTTCCTCCCTCTCTAAAAATAAGGAAGTAAAATCTTAAAAAAAAAAAGATGGAGAAAGAATGTCAAATATGTTGTATTTGATTTGAGAAGGTCACAAATCACCTTAACTCATACAAGAACCGACTCGGTCCGAGACC